CTAAATCCATAGGGGTTGTACAACATTATATGTTGTATGACCCTAGTGGGTTTAGCACTTTTATTATAATGTACAGCATTATAATAATCATAGGGAAGTGTAAGCCATACAGTGCCTGGGAAATGGGAGGCACAGTAATTTTTTTACCTTGCATTGTTTATATTTGCATAACTGATTTTTTTTCCTTATTTTTTGTTATAAGTTACTTTATCATACTTACTCTGTGCATTGTCCTTATTTTCATAACCAATTTTCTTAAAAAAAAACCAACCATACCCCCGGCCGGGATTGAACCCGCGGTCATAGTCTCAAAACTCCAGCCCGTCGCGTTAGCCACTAGACCAGCTAGCCATAATAAGATTCATCCAACTAGGTATATTTCTACACCATAGGAAGGTTAGCACAGGCACCTCTGTGACCACAAATGCAAGTTTTTACAGACGAATCTCCAGCTAGCGTGGCCGTGACGAACTCTAGCTCAAGTCCCTTCACTGCCGTCAACATGACTCAAGAAATCGTATTGTTTGTTTGCAATCGTGTCATTACGATTTCTTGAGTCATGTTGACGGCAGTGAAGGGACTTGAGCTAGAGTTCGTCACGGCCACGCTAGCTGGAGATTCGTCTGTAAAAACTTGCATTTGTGGTCACAGAGGTGCCTGTGCTAACCTTCCTATGGTGTAGAAATATACCTAGTTGGATGAATCTTATTGTGGCTAGCTGGTCTAGTGGCCAATGCGACGGGCTGGAGTTTTGAGACTCTATGACCGCGGGTTCAATCCCGGCCGGGGGTATGGTTTGTTTGCAATCGTGTCATTACGATTTCTTGAGTCCAATTTTCTTGTTAATAGTTGTACCAGCTAATTACGTTATTCTGTTCTCACTCCAATGCTCTTATCGTTAGTGTTTATTGATACCTCTACCTCATCCTTCACTTTCCTAAACCCACATCTTAGTTTATGAATGTTGATATTAACACCAATTTTAATCCTCCGTCATATAAAAAATGGCAATCAATACTCCTCTGCAAGTCAAGCAAAATCTCTTCTCAGCAACACTGAGAATATACATATCAGTATTCAGTTACAACATTAGATCCCTGACTAAGCACTATGATGACCCAGTGCTCCTAGCTTCGCTAAATGTTATCTCTCTTATTAATTGCTGACCCCTGGCTTAAACAAACACAACAGGCATCTTTACCTTACCTGGGTAGACAGCCATTCATAACGGCAGGCCTGATCAAATGGGGGGAGGGATGGCCATCTACTCGAATGAACTAATATCCAGTAACTCGCCTTTATCAGTAATGAATATGGTTTGTACCTTGACAGCAAATTGAAATTTAACACCCACACTCAGCAGATAAATAAAAAGGTATCCAAATCAGTTGGAATCCTCTGTAAAATGTTACTATGTACCTCAAACAGCACTACTTGTGTGTATTGCTCTCTAATCTATCTCTACTTCACTCTTGCCATTTGTACCTGGGGATCCACTAATGCATATCACCTAAAGCAGATAACTCGGTGGCTGTATGAATGATCACTCGGTCTAGTGCCAGGCAACACACTCCTCTGCTCTTCAAAAGTTTGAATTTACTTTTACATAAAATTTATTCATATTACTGTGAATACTGCATATACAGGACAGTCAGTTCTAACATTAATCCTACCCTGAAACACTTTCTTGATAACTGCAACAGATCTTGCAGACAACACAAGATGCAAAAATCTCGACGATATTCCCCATCTCCAACTCGACCTGTGCAAAAACTCAATGCTTATAAAAGACCTAAAATCTGGAATTCTTTGCATGAAGATTCCAGAGGTTTCTTATTTGCCAACCACTTCAAAACTACTGTCAAACAGCACCTTACCTTAATGTGATCCTGACAATTTATTATGCCAAATATATCCTTAAACCCTGTCTTTCATTCAATATTGTCCCTGTTCTTGCTCCATCTCTCCTTCACTCTTATATATTACTAGAGACGTGTATTATAAACTCATATTTTGTATCAGTTCAGATAACTATCTTTCTTTTGTAAGCCTTATTAAAATTTTGAATTACTGAATGCTTTTAGTACAGTATCATCTAAGTATTTTTATTCTCATGTAACTTCTTATAATATAATGTGCTTCATATACATTTGAATCATTTTCATTAAGTTTATATTACTGTGAATATCATTAATGTCTTGTAATCACAAAAGTAAAATACTTTGTATATCATCACATTTTGTAATAATTCAGATTACTACTTTCACTTGTATTGTAATTTTTTTTTTTTTTTTTTTAAGAATTTTTACTTTGAAAAGAAATGATTTTAATATAAGTGCCTAGGTAGTAGGTTGGCAGGCAGCAACCACTTAGGGAGGTACTACCGTCCTGCCAAGTGAGTGTGAAACGGAAACCTGTAATTGTTTTACATGATGGTAGGATTACTGGTGTCTTTTTGGTCTCATAAACATGCAAGATAACAGGTATAATTTGCTACTTACATTTAGGTCACACTGCATGCACACACACATATATATAAGATAAGATAAGATTTCGTTCGGATTTTTAACCCCGGGGAGTTAGCCACCCAGGATAACCCAAGAAAGTCAGTGCGTCATCGAGGACTGTACCTTATTTCCATTGGGGTCCTTAATCTTGTCCCCCAGGATGCGACCCACACCAGTCGACTAACACCCAGGTACCTGTTTGCTGCTAGGTGAACAGGACAACAGGTGTAAGGAAACGTGTCGAAATGTTTCCACCCGCCGGGAATCGAACCCGGGCCCTCCGTGTGTGAAGCAGGAGCTTTAGCCACCAGGCCACCATACATATCCATCCATCTGGGTTTTCCTCTGTTTTCTTAATAGTTCTTGTTATTCTTTATTTCCTCTTATTCCCATGTGGAAGTGGAAAAAAAAATCTTCCTCTAAGCCATGTGTGTTGTAAGAGGTGACGAAAATGCCGGGAGCAAGGGGCTAGTAACCCCTTCTCCTGTACGAATTTCTAAATTTAAAGAGGAAAAACTTTGTTTTAGGTCACCCTGCCTTGGTGGGATATGGCCAGTTTGTTGAAAAAAGTTCCCCCCCCCCCCCATGTAAGTAAGTTTATTCAGGTATACACAAATACAGTTACATAGAATTATCATACATAGCAGCATGTGTGTAGAGAACCTAGGATAACCCAAAAAAGTCAGACAGTGACATATTTCCATTGGGGTCCTTTTACCTTATTATTATAATATAAAGGTTATAATATTTTCTTATATCTCTACAATGAAGATAACATCTTATTATCATACTAAAAAGACTATCTACTACACGAGGGTCATTAAGACTATCTACAATATGAGGGTCATTACTAGGAATAAGGTAAAATTTACACGTATGTTAGCTAAAAAAAATAGAAAATCATTCCCCTCCCTTTCTGTAGCTACATTCATCAGACACCTTTTGGCAGTCTTCTTGAACTGGTTCATGCTATGACTGGCTTTGACATGTGCAGGCAGTCTGTTCCATTCCTTTATTGCTGTACAATAAAAGGTGTTTGAAGCCTGGCCACTGACTGTGGGTACTACAAAGTTGTGCTCCCTCCCCCTAGTACTATGATTGCTTTGGTTCCCAACCTTGACAAAATTGACAGCAAGATATTCTGGACACTGTGAGCAATTTTATAAACATGATTTAGCTTCAGTTGTTTTACTGTCTTCAACATTCAGCATATCCAACTGCTGTAATTCATCCTGGCCTACATGCTCTCTTGGTCCCAGCCCCAGATGAATCTTACGATTTTGTTCTGGGTGATTTGCAGTCTTTCAGTTTTTTTTGTCAAGGCAGAGTACCATGAAGAGCAAGTGTAATCCATATGGCATTGTATAAGGGCTAGACATAGGGTCCTGCGAGCCTCAGTAGGTAGACACTGTGCTTGTCTATACAGGAACTTCAGTCTGGCATTTGCTTTCTTTACTACATTGTTCCCTATCAATTCTCCTGACATGCATGGGTCAAAGGGAATTCCCAGATATTTTACTGATGAAACCAAAGTGACAGTATCGAAGGCCTTTTGCAGGTCTAAGGTTACCATACCTATGAGGTTCCCCTTTGACATTTCAGTTCTCGGGTAATCCATCAATTAATAAGGGAGGTGTCGGTTGAGTAGGTTCTTCTAAAGCCCGATTGATAGCTATGGAGAATGTTGTTGTCATTAAGGTACTTAACTACTTGAGAGTACACCGCCCTCTCTAGAATTTTAGATATTATACTGAGTATACTAACAGACCTATAGTTGCTTACATCAGACCTACTATTTTTCTTGAAGATAGGAGTACCTTGCCTTGATTTTGTCTGCTATATATACACTTGATTCATTTCCATTAATGATATTCACAATAAAAATATCTAAAATATATTTGCATACTAAAGCCCTAGATGCAAGTTAGGTTTCAGCTTGCCTGAAATACTCTGTATAACAAAGGGCTTTCCACTTTATTATTGTGATGTTATCCAATTGTGTACAAATGATGTAGCATCATATAGAAATAAATTTGTAATCATGTGAAAGCACTAAACCCATAGGAGTCATAAAATGCCTGGGAATTGGGAGGTAATTAGATTTGATGCAAGGAAAGTAGCTCTAATGCCTTGGATCAAGAGCCCTTTCATCAGCATTAAGGAATCCTTCAAAGGCAGTGGCAGGCTGTACAGTGCTCTCATTTTCTGTTTTATTTTCTCTGGGGGTCCCCTCTTGGGAGGTGCCATGATGTTGGCGAGGGGCTCTTGATTCAAGGAATTGAACCTATTCCTCCCTCTTTCTTGGACTAAAACTGACTGGCTCACATGTCCTCCTAGGAGTTATTTGACCTCTTGAGTTTAGTGCTTCTCCCAGTACTGTAATAATTCTCATGTTAGAGTTTGTGCCTCTTTCCCTCAGACATAATCAGGTACTGTACAGTATAATAATTTTTTTAAATCACTAAAATTAATTTGCTTATTTTCTCTCTACAGATGTGAGGCATCATGTCAAAGGATGCATATTATCAATTTGGAGAGCCAGGTGGTAAGACAGAGGGCATGAGTCTCCCCTCCTTACCCACCACATCCTACTGGTATAATGCCCACTCTTCTGTGGGCAGCTCTCTGTACTCAGATAATGAGACTTCAGTAGTTTCTCCTTGTAAGGGAGACCAGCACATAAATGTAAAATTACCAGACAATGATAGAGAATCTTTGGAGTGGTGGACTGATGGCATGTGCTTGAGCAATCAGCAGCGAGCCTTTGATGGCCAATACTGGGAAGGATATGTACCAACAAGTGATCAGTCTGGTACAGGGTCAGAATTTGAGGCTTCTGATTGTCCATTAGCCCCACTGAGTTGCTGTACTGCGGACCATCAAAACGGCTACAACAGCCCAGAGTTTTTGAAAACTGTGGAGATTTCAAGACATGACCAGGATGAAAGTTCATATTGTTCAGAATCTATCAGTAGTCAGGAATATTCTCCAGCCAGCAGTAACAGTATTCCTGTAGAAAGTAAGAAACCTAGTCCAGAAACATTAGCAATAGTAGAGGAACATAAAAAGAATCAAAAACGACAAAAAAAAGAACCCAAAGATAAAGGAAAGGAAGACAAAAGATGTGGTGTGTGTGGGGATGCAGCAAGGAGTATGCATTTTGGAGGGATGGCCTGTGACTCTTGTAAAGCATTTTTTCGACGTTCTGTGCAGAGTGGTGCCTACAAAAGTTTCCATTGTCCAGAAAACAAAACCTGTCCAATCTCAAAACAAAACAGAAAAGTTTGTCAGTATTGTAGGTGAGTAATGAGAACTGAATCATAAGTTTTTATGAAATACTCTTGTATGATCCAAACCAAAACATTTTATGGACTATGCCTAAGCATAGTGTGTGTTTATATATAAGAAAAAATTTGGAGGTAAACAGGTTAAGAAATTATTATAGTCAAAAAGAAGCACTAAACCACAAGGGCTATAGGTTAAGAAAGCCTAGGGAACAAATGGATTTGACAATTAAAAACAGAATTGGAAGTATTTGGAAGATGGCAGAAATATATTGAGGAACTGTTAAATACTGAAGAAGACCCTAGTGGGTTTAGTGCTTCTCGATCATCAATATTTATTATTAAGAGAGGCAGTAATTTCATGCATTGGCCATGGAGGTGAAACTTCTTTTAGGAGAGAAAAAAAGCAGGATGTGAGTGTGGGCAAGTGTGCGAGGCATTAGATAATGAAAGGTAAAGCAGCTGGGATCATGACAAATGTTAAGAGCAGAAGGGAGATATAGTTTTGGAGTGGTTGGTACTTTTGTTCAGTAAATGTATGAGAGGAAGGTACATAGGGATTGGCAAAAAACGTGTATAGTTTCTTTATGTAAAGGGAAAGGGGACAAGAGACATTCTAAAAATTATAGGAAAATAAGTTTACCGAGTATACCAGGTAAAGATGGGGGGTCCACCTCTGGTGTAAATTGTGGGACACATAGCCTTGGAAGTGGATAAGAAGGCTTCAAGGAAGAATATTTAGATTTGTTCCTGAAGCCATTTGAATATTGCACATCCCCTACCACCCCATCTTTTCATTCTTTTTTACCAATAGGTATATTACATATGGACAAAAGATTTAAGGGATACATTGATATAATGCCATATACAGTACATGAGGTGAAAGAGATACATGTCTAGTACATATTGTCACGTGTTTGTCACTGATTATAATGCGAAAATCTCATCCAGCTCCTCAGAGCTGGTGCTCTTGCCCAAAATACAGTAGGCATTACCCCTCTGAACAGCAGCGCTGCATCGCTGGAACAGAAACCTAGTCGCCCTGGGATCCCTAGTTACCCTGATGAGTCTTTTGCCTAGCTCCTTAAGGAACTTAGATGCACTCTTTCCTCACGAGCCAAGGGTCTCTGAGCCTATGGGAACTAACATATAATGATGGGCAAGTTCTCCATATTTTCTAGACTTTTGGGACTCTGAAGCTGCCAGCTTCAGATGAGTGTGTATAAATAAACATGTACATGTATGTGAAGTGTGACCTAAGTGTAAGTAGAAGTAGCAAGACGTACCTGTAATCTTGCATATTTATGAGACAGACGAAAGACACCAGCAATCCTACCATCATGTAAAACAATTACAGGCTCTCATTTTACACTCGTCGGGACGGTAGTACCTCCCTGGGTGGTTGCTGTCTACCAAACTACTGCCTATATACATGTATATGGAGGGGTGTTTATGTTGCAATTTTATAACTGTAGTGTAAAGCACCCTTCTGGCAAGGCAGTGATGGAGTGAATAATGAAAGTTTTTCTCTTTCGGGCCACCCTGCCTTGGTGGGAATCGGCCATGTTAAATAAAATACACAGACTGGGCTGCAGGAGCATTGACTGAAAAAGTTAAAAAAAAATTTTTTCTTTTTTTTTTTCTTTTCGAAAGTGTGTGTGGAACAGTAGTGCTTGAACAAAAAATCTGCTAAGCTATAATAGTGTACAGAGGTTTATGGGTATAGACAGTGGGTGCAAATGGAAGAGTAGTGAGGTAAAAAGGTGGCAAGTGATAAAAAAAATTAGCACACAAGAGGTTTTTATAATGTAAAAATGATATACAATGTATGTGGAAAAAAAAAAAGGTGAAACAGGTGGTGAGGGGGTTCAAAAGGAGAGCTAATAAGAGATTTGCAAATTTTGTTGAACGAAAAAATGGTTTTAGAGGAAGATGAATAAACTGAGGAAACCTGGAGAGCACATGGACTTGGCAGTTACAAAATGAGGGATGATACATGGGGAAAAAATGAAGACATTTTGATAAGTTGTTAAATGTTAATGATGTGGAGATCATGATTTCATGAATTGGCCAGAGGGAGGGGAAAATATCACAGGATTGAGAAACCTGAGGAGAATGGTCAAAGTAAGGAGGCAGTGGGTAATATGCAAGTATTCTCCCACCTTTCATTGTATCCACTACCCCTTTGTGGTTTAGCACTTCTTTCTTATTATAATAATAATCTGTCCACTACCTTGTGCACTTTTCCCACATCCACCTTGGACTCTACCTCACTACCATACAGTGTCATCCCCCTCTGCTCTGTTCATGAATTCACTGCCGTCCCTTCATTATCTAATGCCATCCTGAGACGAGTCAACTGAGGTTTAGTATTTTAAGTTTCTCTTAAGTATATAGAGCCCTTGTGGTTTAGCACTTTTTGATTATAATAATAATCTAAGTATATAGACAAAACAGGTGGTTGTAAATTCATTCAAAGAGCATTTCATTCAAATTAAATGCATATACTAAATCATATTTTATCTTTGCTAGGTTTAAGAAAAGTCAAGAGAATGGAATGGAGATCAACTGGGTGATGTCAGAAACTGACCGAATGGTGCTTTGGAAGAACAGACTTGCTAAACAACGCCATGTCCAGGAAGAAAAGATTAAAGAGAAAGTATATGGAGACCTGCCAAGATCACTAGATCCTCAGGAAGCAGATACGCTAAGGACTATTGTTGCTCTTCAAGAGTCGACATTCAGGTCCATTTCTTACCCAGAAGGCTGTTACGGTGACAATGTACAAGCATTAGCTAACCTTTTTGTTTGCATATGCAAAAAACTAGGAATATTCTTCAAAGAAGTCGAGGACTTTCAGGAAGTTTGTGAAACTGATAGATCACTTTTACTGAAGAGTGGGATTGGGATGTCGATATACCTTCATGGTGCATATATGTATGATTACGAAAATCAAATATGGCCTGCTGAATGTAACAAAGAAGCTTTAAAGATTCCAAAAATATCCATGGACACTCTGAGAGAGTTTACAGGTTTGCCAGAAGCTTTTGATGCCATAATGAAATTCTACAATAAATATGCCAAAGATCTAAAAGATGAAATTGTTTTGGTACTGATTTGCTTGATTGCCTTCTTTCAGCCAGATGATCCTCAATTTGAGAATCCACAAAAGATTCAGGAGATTCAGCTAAAGTACCTGGAACTCCTCCGGCATTACCTAGTAGGTAAAGAAGGTGATGTTGGTGCAAAAATAACATTTCCTAAGCTTCTTGTTGGACTTGCAGACGTTAAAGAGATTGTAGAATTTCATAGCAAAGTAGATATCAAACCATCTATAAACCACCAACAAATCTTTACACATTCAGTAGCAGAAAATCAAATGTCAGCAGTAAATGAATTGTTTCAAAAGGCTTCCCAAGGGATACTGCCAGAGTTTTCTTCAATTTTAACAGTCTCTGAAAAAAGACAGCCACTATGGCAGCAAAGTGCTGCAGTTAGAAGACGACGATCAAATTCAAGCATTGTTGTGCATGGAGAGCAGTTTTATCATCCTCAGACTAACCAAATATTTGGTGGGACTCCAAGAACTGATATGATTATCACAAATCCAATGGAAGAGATAGAAAATTTTCTAAGAAAACAGAAGTTGCCAAGTGCACAAATAAATGAGGTGTCAGATTATGATGATGATTACAGAGGTGAAGACTACAGGAAAAATATATTATGTAGAGATTCTGGAAAGGCAACTAACACTCCTCCATTTAATTCTGACAGACAGTTACAACTTGTGTCAAGTGACAGAAATAGAGAAAGTGATCAGGCAGATCCATTAGACAAAAAGAAAGCAGTTGAAGTGCTTTGTGATATACTGAAACATGTATCTTGTGCTGATGATGAAGAGTTCATTCAGTCATTAAAACAAAATTTGTCTCCACACCTTTTGATTAATTTAGCTCAAAAGCTGTCACCATCTTAGCATTTGCTGTAACAAGCAATTTTAATTATTTGGAGACATTTACCCAATTAAGTTTTTTGGTGAAGAAACAAATGTACAGCATTTGGAAGCAGAGCACAAAACCTTTTGATACATTTTTTTTCCTGTGACAAACTAAAATGTTCAACAATTGACAAATACTGCCAATACTATATTATTATGGACCTCACTGTGGACATTTGCTCATCTGATTTAAGTCAGTTTAGTCTTAATTTTAGAAATAGCTGGAGCATTTGTGATGCACATTTGTTAAAAATAAAAAAATTGATCTATGATGGTTTCATTTTCTGCAACTATATTTTTTTTTAAATTCCCATTTAAAGAAAAAGTTAACAGATACATGCTGTGCTAATTTTTAATGGTGTCCATTTCCTGCCAAGGCAGGGTTACCCAAACAAGAAAACATTCATACTTGGTACATATATTACATATACAGTATCACATACATTTATAAGCGGTATGACCCTCTCCAGTTTAGAACTAAAGTTGATTATAAATGTACATGAATAATAATAATACTAATCATTTTAAAAGAATTAGGGTTAAAGTATTATTTATTCATGTAGTAAGATATTCACCAGCATCTAGAAGTGCACAGACTAACACCCTCAACAATATTTTCTTGATGCTGGCGAGAGGCTTCCCCTCAAGGAAGGTTCCTTGATGTTGGTGAGGGGCTCTTGATTTAGGGAATTGAATCTGTGCTCCAGTTCCCCGAATTAAGCCTGAATGCCTTCCACATCCCCCCCCCAGGCGCTGTATAATCCTCCGGGTTTAGCGCTTCCCCCTTGATTATAATAATAATAATGGCGAGAGGCTTGATCTAAGGAACGGGACTTGTCATCCCCTACCTAGGATCAAACCAGATTTTTTACATTCCTCCAAGTGTTCTATAACTCCTACAGGTTAAGTGCTTGCCCTTAAATGTATTAATTATAACATTAGCATGATATACGTCATCACATTAGTGGTTTACAATACCAATAAGTTAACAAATTACACGTGCAACACCTGGATATCTTTACTTTGAAGATATTTTGCCCACCAGTGGCTTTCTCAGATAGAGTATAAAGATATTCAGATATTGCATGTGTGTAAGATATCTAGTATTTGACTAACACACATTTAGAAAGGTACTTGCATACTGATATATACACAGCAATACAGTGGACCCCTGCTTTACAATAGGCTTCCAATGTGACAAATTATGTAAGTGCATTTGTATGTGTATGTTTGGGGGTCTGAAATGGACTAATCTTAATTCACAATATTCCTTATGGGAACAAATTCGTTCAATAATGGCACCTGAACATACTTCTGGAATGAAATAATATCATAAACCGGGGGTCCACTGTATTCAGAAATCTAACTAGTAACAAAAATTTAGTCAGATATACAATCATATTTGGCAAGCTCCATACATACACACACACACATGCTAGAGAAGTCAGGAAGTGGAATAGTCTAGCAAGTGAGGCAGGAACCATACATAGCTTTAAGATGAGGTATGATAAAGCTCATGGAGCAGGGGGAGAGAGGATCTAGTACCACTCAGTGAAGAGGCAGGGCCAGGAGCTGAGACTCGACCCCTGCAATCACAATTAGGCAAGTATATAAACGTTAGACATATTAATCGAGTATACAGAAAGTTACACATCCTTATGTTTAGGAACTGGATTTCATAAGAGGAAATCTCACCACTAAGGCAAAAAAAAAAAAAAAAAAAAAAGGGGTAATGGGTATTTAGAAAATCCAGGGAAGGGGAGCAGAAGTTCAATTCCTTGGCTCGAGAGCCTGCCTGCCACAGACTCCCTTTGAAGAGGAATAAAATAATGAAGATGGAACACTGAACATAGCTATGCCCATGTAACTACAAATATTTCTTTTAAAAGGTAGGTGTTGAAGGGCTTTTGCTCTAAAGAATTGCTCCCTATCATAGGGTTGAATCTAATTACCTCCCATTCTGTGGTGCTATATGATTATGACCCCTCATGGAAGGTTCCTTGATGTTGGTGAGGGGCTCTTGATTTAGGGAATTGAATCTGTGCTCCAGTTCCCTGAATTAAGCCTGAATGCCTTCCACATCCCCCCCCTGGGCGCTGTATGATCCTACGGGTTTAGCGCTTCCCCCTTGATTATAATAATAATAATATATGATTATGAGTTTAGCACTCTCCCATGAATGTATTGCTAAATTATTCAAATGGGAAGCATTAAACCTATAAAGGTCCACCAACATCATTTATGAACCCTCTTACTGATCAAACCTTTGAGCACTACTGGGCATAAAGAAAGAAGATATTGAAGTGCTGAAGATATCTAAACCAGATACAGCTTTAAACAATGGATTAAAGCTGAATAAATTCAGATTTAGAAAATTAGAAAAGAACTGGTTTAGGAACAGAACTGAAAATGAGTGGAGCAAACTGCTACTATGTATAATCATAGGAACAAATTCTTCAGGATGCTAAAAACTATAAGGATGGGCCCCTCAAGGAAGGTTCCTTGATGTTGGCGAGAGGCTCTTGATTTAGGGAATTAGATCTGTGCTCCAGTTCCCCGAATTAAGCCTGAATGCCTTCCACATCCCCCGGGTTTAGCGCTTCCCCCTTGATTATAATAATAATATAAGGATGGGCTGGATAGATAGATGAGTATGACTGGTAGGTGACTGGAACCTACTTACCATAGTACTTGCAGGTAGGCCTGGTACATTCCTTTTTTTTTTTTATGTTCATAACCAGCTTGCCTTGCCTCCCACCTCTCCTTTACTTTAACGAAGTACTAAGCACTGAGCACCAGACCTTGATGATAATAAAATCAGTGTAACCATTAGATATTTTTACTTTTGTTTTAACATTTTTTCTGTATATTTAAGAGACAGGCTGAACTTTTAAAAAGACAAAACACTGTACTGGTAAACTTACTTTTTGCATGGAGCAAGCCTAATAGCATATTTGACCTTGATACACAAAGCAGCAAATACCAAACTATTCTAATGCTCCTCAAAAACTAGTGTTGACATGTAAATGAAATATTGTTTATGAAAAAGAAAGGAGCTGTTAGCAAAATGTCAGAAGTTGACTTATGCTCGAATATATGGTTTACAAAGCCAGTTTTGTGCACCTTACACCTAAAAAAAATAAGAAATTTCATTAACCAAATTTTTTTAACACGTTGGCTGTCTCCCACCACAGTGACCCCCCAAAAAAAAAAAAACGCTTTCACCAATAATTAATATAGTTCTAAATAAAATTATTTTTTAAGCTTCTTCAGGATGAATTCATTTATGTTGATATCATGCCCTTCATCAGTGTTATGAAGAGTAACACCCAGACGCTGATGATCCCTGTTGAAAGAAATAAGATTAAGAGTAAAAAATTAAAACAGTTTTATATACCATAATTATTTCATTCAAGATGCAAACGACCTATTTAGCATATAGACCATTCATGTAAATTATAACCTCATTAAAAGCTTGATTTTATTCTAAGTACTAAAGAGGATTCTAATTATATACCACACAAGCATTATAAATCTAATTCACAATACAGTATGGCCCCACTCATATGGAAGGTTAGGTTCCAGGCTACTGCCGAAAAGAAGATCACCATTTTTTCCACTTTTAAATGCAAATAAATTCCATATAACAAGTTTACACTAACATATATTAAGTTAGCAATAGAATTAGGCATTAAAAAAACAATAAAAAGTAAAATATACACACAGTGCACACATTACTTACCTTAAAATATTTGTATTCTTAATGTAGGGTTAGAGGTGAAGAGTATTTATTTATAGATAGTCAGGTGTGGGAGATATGGTAGCCCGCCTGGCCACCCCACCTACTACGACATTTAAAGAGCCCTAGAGCGATAAAATGCATATACAGTACACTCATTACTTACCTTAAAATATTTGTAGTCTTAATGTAGGGTGAGAGGCGAGTAAGCGAGATAAAAACGAATAAACGAGAGAGAGAATGAGTAAGAGGACAGAGCTGCGAATACTATGTAAACAAATGGATGAAAGTGTCTGTATAGTTCACACATGTTCATACAAACACCTTGCATTGTGTACAAGTTGTCTACACAGTGGTACAGTAGAATAAATAAAGAGCAACACTTCCATTCTCATGTAACAACGTTTTAGAAGGAATGATATTCTAACAAGTTAGTACAGAAGAATAAATAAACAGCAACATTCCCATTCTCATGCAACACACCATTTTTAGAGTGAATGATATTATTATAATCAAATAAAAAAGTGCTAAACCCACAAGGGTCATGAATAGCTATAGAGTGAAGGCATATGAAAGGAATATTTTTCTACAGTTATCCCCCAGTAACTGATATTTAACTAGAGAAAATTGTAATTCTTCCGACACCCCTACAAACTGCTTGGTAAACACATCTCATATTTATGTCAATTTTTATACTGAGTGTATGTATCGTTTACATTACGCAGCATGTTTATTACATAATTTTGAAAAAAACATCATAGATGGATTAATGGAAATGTGTATATTATCGTAATATATGACATTGAATGCGCCCAAGAGAGTATTATATGGCATCTTAGTGATTTTAATGTGTACCTGCACATCAGCAGTGTAAGTATATTTAGGTACAGGTATATATAATTATCAGAGTACATATAAAATATGCAATAACTTTAAAACACTTGAAATTTTGGAAAGTTTCCAGACATAATAGAGATATGTGCTCATGGAGAATGTAAACAAACTGGGTGGGGCGCGTTGTATTAGAAAGATGGGGAGCCGTATGGCAAGTTTTGGTCATAATTTGAACTCGCTGTATTAGCGGAATGCTGTAAGGTGAAACACCGTAAAAAGGGGCCCTACTGTATATCCCACATAAAGCCTTTTAACTTGAATTACATAAATATACCACATATTACATTCAATATATTAAGAAGATAATATGAATTATTTAAAGAGTGCTATGTGTATATAATACAATGTCCTACTGCATTGTCAGTTTTATTATACACCTTGTATTAGCTTAGTTCTAGTTTAATTCTGGCCAAAATGTTGTACATAATTACTTGTTTTTCTAAATGAATTTAAATAATTTGTTAACACATATTAAAACATGTACAGTACCTTCAGAAAATAAACTGTATTACTTATTTACTATGGTGGGAAATTACCACTACAAAAATTAGGGGCTTCTATTATGCTTTTAATTAATATTATGTCAAAATTTTAATATGAATTACTGAATCTAAAAAACTAATTTGAATTTATTAAACTAGTATCACCTGTCAATATGATTGACATGAGCAACCAATGTACGGCCTTCTGTAAGTTGTGTCAGGTAGCTACCAGCTGAAGGATGCCAACCATCGCGTGGAGACTCCACGCCCGTTAACCAGCAATCAACAGCCTTGGAAGAAAATATTTTTTCAAGCATTTTAAAATATTCAAGCCTTATTAATGGAATATTATACCGTACCAAAGTCCAGTCTTGACTGAGGTCATGGCTTGAGAGTTGCACGAGACTCACTTGCTCATTCAGTGTAGTTAAAAGACAATATCAAGAACAGAAGTAAACCTGGATACTGTCTTGCGACTTGCAATGAATGAGCAAATGATCCACAAGCAGCTCATGAGCCATGGCTGAACCATATCTTCCATAGTCAATGTACGTATGTACTAAGACTCACACACAAGGAATTTTTAGATACGTGACAGTAATACCTATCACTTAGATTTACAAAGTTTTTAAAGAGAAGTGCAAGTGTTGAGAACATGTAAAGTAACATTTATCATTGCTAGGAAAAACTTCTTTAAATGAAGCAGCTGAAGGTCTTCATGTTGGAATGGAAAATAGCCAAATCTCCTAAAACCTTCCTTACTGGAGAAATTACTGTATCAACAAGACATTACAGTTGGTAACAGTGGCACAGCCCCAAATACCTCTTTTTTCTAATTAATTGCTAATTTTTACTATTGTACTATTATGTATATTTTACTACTGATATTTTAAGAGATTTCACATACCAAAAGTAACATGTTTTTTAAATTCAATTTCTTTGACTTTATCAGCAGCTTATTATTTTTAAGTCCCTAGATTGAAATATACTGACTTACGAGTTACCCATAATGAAATCCTGGTTAAACTATTGATTTGCAAAATTATGTCAGCTGTTTCTTTAAGAAATGATAAATTCAAACCTCAAACAGCAGATACTTAGATACCACATTTTTTTGATCCATTAGTGCTAATTCTCTTGGAATTTTATGCAATGTTTACAATTCATGTCACTCACAGCAGCACTGCTAATCTGACTACATGTATAACTCACTCTCATGGTTATTGGAGGCATTACCATCAACACAATAAAATAATATGATAAATATTTACATTTATGTTTTTTTTTGTGTGTGTTTTTTTTAGCACATCGGCCATTTCCCACCAAGGCAGGGTGACCCAAAAAAGAGAAACACTTTCATCATCAGTCACTCAATCACCATCTTGCCAATGGCATGCCAATACTACAGTTCAAAAACTAACATATCTCTACCATGCCTTCAGAATGCAGGCACTGTACTTTCCACCTCCAAGACTCAAGTCCAGCTAACCAGTTTCCCTGAATTCCTTCATAAATGTTACCTTGCTCACATTCCAACAGTATGTGAAGAAATAAAAACCACTTGTCTCCACTTACTCCTATCTAACACATTTTAGCACATGCCTGCTGGCATCCAAGTCCCTTGTATACAAAGACACTTTCATTCCTTTCCTCTAACCTTTCCTAGGATGACCCCTACCCCTTCTTCCCTCCACTACAGATTTATATACCCTCCAAGTCATCCTATTTTGCTCCATCCTCAATAACCCCTCAAGCCACCTCAATAACCCCTCAAGCCACCTCAATAACCTCTCAATTAGCCCAGATGTTTGGGAGTGATTTATTGGAAGATTGGCCTATGAAAACTGAGGCATCTGTGGAGATAAAGAACATTGTCCATGGAAGCAAAATGAATATACCAGAGTATAGTGGTAGCAATATTGTTATATGGTGTGAAAGCATCGGGTTTTAATGTTGCAGTTAGGAAACTGACAAGGAATTGAGTTGTTGTATTTGAGGACGTGTGATGTGAACATTATGCAGAGAATTTGGAGGTTGGAGATTAGATAGGGTTCGATTACTAAGAGTATTATTTGGAGGATGGAGGAGGTTTGGGTATTAAGGGGAGATGGAGCAGAACAGAATGACCGAGAGGGTGTATAAATTCGGAATGGAGGGAAGGAGGGGCAAGGACACATTACAGGAAAAATTGGAGGGAAGGGGTAAAGGAGGTTTAGAGTGCTAATAGTTCAAACATACAACTGGCTTTTGTGAATGCATTAGAGAGGAGTGGAGGCAAGTGGTTGTTATGATTTGAACAAGTGTTTGGGATAGTTCAGTAAATGTAAGCATTTAAACTCTTACTTGTGAGGGAGTATGAATAAACTGTACAGCAAGAGGATGCAGCTGATTTTCTGGAACCCAGTTTGTGTAACCGAAGTCAATAGAGAAAACCTGTTAAATAAAGTACTGTTAAGGAAAGTACTGTTTAGAATGTACTTTTAAGAAGTACTACAGGTCAGCCATCACTAATCTGGCATCACTGGGACATGTAGTGTACCAGATTAGTGAGTTTGCCAGATTACAGAGTGGTTAGGTTAGAACACACTTAATTAGCCTATCAATAGACTTTCTGCTACAACTTCCTCATTTTCATCACTGCTTTCTCCTCCACTGGCTTGCTGCTGTGGATTTAGAACCATCTGCACAATTTCTGAGTCAGTATAATGATGAAATTTGAGTCAGTATAATGATCTGAGTCAGTATAATGATCTGAGTCAGTATAATGATCTGAGTCAGTATAATGATGAAATTTGAAATTTGCTAGCCGAAATTAGTGCCGGATTACTGATGGAACCGGATAACTGATTGCCGGATTAATGATGGCCGACCTGTATTAAGAAAAAATGTACTAAAAGTATATAAATACTAACAGAATTATTAAAATAAACAGCAGTACAGCAATATTCTTCTTATACACATAATGCTGATAACATAGATGCCTTGGGCATCTTGCAAAAAAAACTTTTATTTTTAGGCTTTTCTAAAATAAATTACCATGAGCTAAGTTACGCATTATGTATGCTATTCAAATTTATTTAACAGCATGTACATATTTTTTGAAAATTTATGGTTGTATTAGGGCTAAAAATACTGCAATGTATTTATTTATAAGTAAACATATTGATACTATAACATGATTCTAACATATAGGAGCTCTATAGAAACTATGTATCATGCCAAGACAAAACCATTCTCATTGCTAAATTTACAAACTGTAATGCAGTTACCTAGCCTTAATATTAATATACTCCATAACCTGTATCAATATAGAGTTTGAATTATTATTAGTCTGCTCAAAATGCCTAGTCATGCTAGGGATGATAGTGGCCCTCTCTGTAACTAGTATTTTAAAATATGTAAACCACACACTGTAATCTTTATAGAGAATAAACTTTTGATTTGATTTGATTATACTATAAGCCACTTAAAAAAGTTAAATATTACACAGAGTTCAAAATTAAGATGCAATGAGAATATATGTAAAGATATTATGTGTTTTCTTCTTTATGTTACCATGCCATGGTGGGAGAATGCTGTCAAGTTTAAATTTTCTTAATAAAGGAATAAAAATGGAAAAAGAAGCATAAGAAAAAGACTGGTGAAAGTAATAGTAGATTCAGTGGCCTCAGGTATTCAAAGACAAAAAAAAAAAAAAAAGTGGGTATCACTTTCCATTCTCCCTCCATACAATCTGATATTCAGTCTTTTCTTGATTCAATTTTTTTTTTTACATCTTTGTTGTCTTGTCCTGGAACTCCCCTGGTAAATAAAGGTAAATTTTAACTCTGAATTTTTATCTTTTACACCAATATGCTATGCAATTTCCTATGACTCACATACCTGTACTAGGGAACTATACTTGTCTTCCTTTATACCTATGACACGAACTCTTGAACAATGGACCTTCCCATTCTTTTGTTCACATAGTGCCTTAAGTTCTCCAGGTGCAAGCAAACACTCTTGGGACTGGGGATGAGCTTTCTTGTAATATTTTTGCATGGCAGACATTAACAATTCCATTTCCATAGCTGATTTATCTACAAAACCTGGATAAAGAATTACTGTAAACAGATGTAAATTCCATTATACATATTTTCTTCACTCAGGTAACTTGAACAACTCAGAAATTTGTAAGAACTTATATAAATTCGAAAAATTTAGATCTTTTAAAGTTTACAATACAATTAATACCAATAAAAAAAATACTCTCCAATGCCATTATTTTACTTGAAACATAGAAATACAACAGTGCAGCAACTGTGACAATTTTCCAGAACATGCAAAGACCAGCAACTAAATTAAGTGGAAAACTAATGTGACAAAAAGTGGAAAATAAAAACAAATTAATACTAGTGCTATGTATCATACTACAATACAGTAATTTATTTAGCACTCCATTGTTCTCACTACCATTTAGCCGATCACAACTCTTACATTTTGTATAACCTTAATACTGTTTCCCCACTTCAAATTTCATTACCTAATTTACATATCTTAGTAATGTTGGTATTTCACAAGCATTTCTGATGTCATTTCATTTTGCTGTTTATCAGAATTACACTATTTTTGCTATCATGCTAGATGCTAAGTGCTCTACCATAAACACTGACTGAATAAGGATGACTATTGAAGTACTGAGGGCAATGTTCTTAATGTGCCACTGAGTGCTTCATCACATGATTTACACCTGCATCAGCTGATTTTTTTCCCTGACCAATTAACACCTAATGAATTAAAGATGCAGAGTAAGCCATTTATTTAATCATGTCTTGCATCCTGTGGGATTTTATGTAATATATGTATGTATAGTTTTTATTAAATTTTTTTATTAATACATTAGCCATTTTCCACCAAGGCAAGGTGATCCGGAAAAGAAGAAACACTTTCATCATCATTCACTCCATCACTGGCTTGCCAGAGGTGTGCCAACACTACGGTTCAAAAACTGCAACATATCTCCACCTCACCTTTAGAGTGCAAGCACTATGCTTCCTATCTCCAGAACTCAAGTCTGGTTAACTGGTTTCCCTTCATTCCTTCATCAATGTTACTTTGCCTACACTCCAACAGCATGTCAAGTCATAAAAACCATTTGCGTCCACTCACTCCTATGTAACATGCTCACAAACGCTTGCACGCACATCCAACTCCTTTGGACAAAAAGACGCCTATACCCTCTCCCTCCTACCTTTCATAAGACAACCCCTACCCCACTTTCCTTCCACTACAGATTTATATGCTCTCCAAGTCATTCTATTTTGTTCCATCCTCTCTAAATGTCCAAAGCACCTCAACAACTCCTCCTCAGCTCTGGATAATACTTTTATAAACCCAGCATCTTCTAATCTCCAAACTACGAAATCTCTGCATAATATTTATGCCACACACTGTCTCCCACTACCTCCAGCCTCCTTCTTGCTGCAACATTCACAACCCATGCTTCACACCCATATAAGAGTGTTGGTATCACTATACTCTCGTACACTCCCTTCTTTGCCTCCATGGATAACGTTCTGTCTCCACAAATACCTCAATGCACCACCCACCTTTTTTTCTTCATCAATTCTATGGCTAACCTCATCCTCCACAAACCCATCTGCTGAAAAGTCTACTCGCAAATATCTGAACACATTCACTTCTTCCATACTCCCTCCCTCCAATCTGATATCTAATTTTTCTTTACCTAACTCATTAGATATTCTCATCACCTTACTCTTATCAATGTTCCCTTTCAACTTTCTTCCTCTACACACCCTCCCAAACTTGTCCACTAACCTTTGCAACTTCTCTTCAGAATCTCCCAAAAGCACAGTATCATCAGCAAAAAATAACTTTGTCAACTCCCATTTTATATTTGATTCCTCATAATTAATTCCACCCCTCTCCCGAACACCTAGCATTTACTTCTTTTATAACCCCATCTATAAAATGTTAAACAACCATGGTGACATTATGCATCCGTGTCTAAGGTCCATTTTTTTCTGGAGGTATTGGGAAGATGGAGGGAATATTTTGAGGAATTGTTAACCCTTTGACTGTTTCAGGCCCCTTTCTGAAACTAGTCATTCTGTCCCTAAATTTAAGAAAAAAAACAAAAAAAAAAAAAAAAAATTATTTTTTCTTATAAAATGATGGAGAATCTTCTCCCGATGGTAATGACACCAAAAGTTCGAAATTTGGTCGAAAACTCATGGAATTACGCTCCCGCAAAGTTAGCGGTCTCGGCAACATATGCGTATCGGCGATTTCGCCGAATTTGAGCCCTATTTTCAGTCAATTCCTTTGTGCCAGTTGACCACACTCATAGCTATTTCTTTAGAACTCCATTTTATCTATAAGCTGAGTACAAGAAACCTCCCATTTACCAATTTGGACTACCCAATATAGTGGTCAGAAATTGGCAATTTGGCCAATTTCACGCAAACTAAAAAAGATGCCAATTTCAAAATAGGGTCCAGAATAAACAAGGTAGACATTCTTGGCACTAAAATAACATATCCTCTGTTCATTAGTCACATCTCTAGGCCCCTCTTATATTATTATTGCTTTCTATTTTGATTTTCTATTCATACAAAAAAATACAAAATTTACTGTTAAGCAGACTACTGCATTATTGTAAAAATGGTATAAATAATATCAGTGCACTAGTGAAAGAATATTAGACTCCCCAGTTGACGTATATTGGACGTGTAGTGTGATTTGTTTACTCCTGAACATTGGTAAAAATCGATCATTTCCGCTACTTTGAGCTCAGTTTCAAGGACGTTTTCATCTTCAAAGTAATGAAAATCATCTCTATTTCTGTAATATGTTTTCCATTTTATCACCTAAGACCATGAAAATGCAAATACATCAATAAATACTATAAGAAAATACACCTCTAAGTCGGCGTTTTAATCCAAAAAAACAGAGTTTTTTTTTTCTCATTACGCACTGTGTGCTGCAGGATTTTTTTTATGTGGTGCACACTGACCACACAGACCCATTCTCTCACATGTGGGCCTACCAGCTTTCTTCCGCTTGATTTGAAGCCGCTAGAATTTTTTTTATTATTTATTATCACACTGGCCGATTCCCACCAAGGCAGGGTGGCCCGAAAAAGAAAAACTTTCACCATCATTCACTCCATCACTGTCTTGCCAGAAGGGTGCTTTACACTACAGTTTTTAAACTGCAACATTAACACCCCTCCTTCAGAGTGCAGGCACCGTACTTCCCATCTCCAGGACTCAAGTCCGGCCTGCCGGTTTCCCTGAATCCCTTCATAAATGTTACTTTGCTCACACTCCAACAGCACGTCAAGTATTAAAAACCATTTGTCTCCATTCACTCCTATCAAACACGCTCATGCATGCCTCCTGGAAGTCCAAGCCCCTCGCACACAAAACCTCCTTTACCCCCTCCCTCCAACCTTTCCTAGGCCGACCCCTACCCCGCCTTCCTTCCACTACAGACTGATACACTCTTGAAGTCATTCTGTTTCGCTCCATTCTCTCTACATGTCCGAACCACCTCAACAACCCTTCCTCAGCCCTCTGGACAACAGTTTTGGTAATCCCGCACCTCCTCCTAACTTCCAAACTACGAATTCTCTGCATTATATTCACACCACACATTGCCCTCAGACATGACATCTCCACTGCCTCCAGCCTTCTCCTCGCTGCAACATTCATCACCCACGCTTCACACCCATATAAGAGCGTTGGTAAAACTATACTCTCATACATTCCCCTCTTTGCCTCCAAGGACAAAGTTCTTTGTCTCCACAGACTCCTAAGTGCACCACTCACCTTTTTTCCCTCATCAATTCTATGATTCACCTCATCTTTCATAGACCCATCCGCTGACACGTCCACTCCCAAATATCTGAATACGTTCACCTCCTCCATACTCTCTCCCTCCAATCTGATATTCAATCTTTCATCACCTAATCTTTTTGTTATCCTCATAACCTTACTCTTTCCTGTATTCACCTTTAATTTTCTTCTTTTGCACACCCTACCAAATTCATCCACCAATCTCTGCAACTTCTCTTCAGAATCTCCCAAGAGCACAGTGTCATCAGCAAAGAGCAGCTGTGACAACTCCCACTTTGTGTGTGATTCTTTATCTTTTAACTCCACGCCTCTTGCCAAGACCCTCGCATTTACTTCTCTTACAACCCCATCTATAAATATATTAAACAACCACGGTGACATCACACATCCTTGTCTAAGGCCTACTTTTACTGGGAAAAAATTTCCCTCTTTCCTACATACTCTAACTTGAGCCTCACTATCCTCGTAAAAACTCTTCACTGCTTTCAGTAACCTACCTCCTACACCATACACTTGCAACATCTGCCACATTGCCCCCCTATCCACCCTGTCATACGCCTTTTCCAAATCCATAAATGCCACAAAGACCTCTTTAGCCTTATCTAAATACTGTTCACTTATATGTTTCACTGTAAACACCTGGTCCACACACCCCCTACCTTTCCTAAAGCCTCCTTGTTCATCTGCTATCCTATTCTCCGTCTTACTCTTAATTCTTTCAATTATAACTCTACCATACACTTTACCAGGTACACTCAACAGACTTATCCCCCTATAATTTTTGCACTCTCTTTTATCCCCTTTGCCTTTATACAAAGGAACTATGCATGCTCTCTGCCAATCCCTAGGTACCTTACCCTCTTCCATACATTTATTAAATAATTGCACCAACCACTCCAAAACTATATCCCACCTGCTTTTAACATTTCTATCTTTATCCCATCAATCCCGGCTGCCTTACCCCCTTTCATTTTGCCTACTGCCTCACGAACTTCCCCCACACTCACAACTGGCTCTTCCTCACTCCTACAAGATGTTATTCCTCCTTGCCCTATACACGAAATCACAGCTTCCCTATCTTCATCAACATTTAACAATTCTTCAAAATATTCCCTCCATCTTCCCAATACCTCTAACTCTCCATTTAATAACTCTCCTCTCCTATTTTTAACTGACAAATCCATTTGTTCTCTAGGCTTTCTTAACTTGTTAATCTCACTCCAAAACTTTTTCTTATTTTCAACAAAATTTGTTGATAACATCTCACCCACTCTCTCATTTGCTCTCTTTTTACATTGCTTCACCACTCTCTTAACCTCTCTCTTTTTCTCCATATACTCTTCCCTCCTTGCATCACTTCTACTTTGTAAAAACTTCTCATATGCTAACTTTTTCTCCCTTACTACTCTCTTTACATCATCATTCCACCAATCGCTCCTCTTCCCTCCTGCACCCACTTTCCTGTAACCACAAACTTCTGCTGAACACTCTAACACTACATTTTTAATCCTACCCCATACCTCTTCGACCCCATTGCCTATGCTCTCATTTGCCCATCTATCCTCCAATAGCTGTTTATATCTTACCCTAACTGCCTCCTCTTTTAGTTTATAAACCTTCACCTCTCTCTTCCCTGATGCTTCTATTCTCCTTGTATCCCATCTACCTTTTACTCTCAGTGTAGCTACAACTAGAAAGTGATCTGATATATCTGTGGCCCCTCTATAAACATGTACATCCTGAAGTCTACTCAGCAGTCTTTTATCTACCAATACATAATCCAACAAACTACTGTCATTTCGGCCTACATCATATCTTGTATACTTATTTATCCTCTTTTTCTTAAAATATGTATTACCTATAACTAAACCCCTTTCTACACAAAGTTCAATCAAAGGGCTCCCATTATCATTTACACCTGGCACCCCAAACTTACCTACCACACCCTCTCTAAAAGTTTCTCCTACTTTAGCATTCAGGTCCCCTACCACAATTACTCTCTCACTTGGTTCAAAGGCTCCTATACATTCACTTAACATCTCCCAAAATCTCTCTCTCTCCTCTGCATTCCTCTCTTCTCCAGGTGCATACACGCTTATTATGACCCACTTCTCGCATCCAACCTTTACTTTAATCCACATAATTCTTGAATTTACACATTCATATTCTCTTTTCTCCTTCCATAACTGATCATTTAACATTACTGCTACCCCTTCCTTTGCTCTAACTCTCTCAGATACTCCAGATTTAATCCCATTTATTTCCCCCCACTGAAACTCTCCTACCCCCTTCAGCTTTGTTTCGCTTAGAGCCAGGACATCCAACTTCTTTTCATTCATAACATCAGCAATCATCTGTTTCTTGTCATCCGCACTACATCCACGCACATTTAAGCAACCCAGTTTTATAAAGTTTTTCTTCTTCTCTTTTTTAGTAAATGTATACAGGAGAAGGGGTTACTAGCCCATTGCTCCCGGCATTTTAGTCGCCTCATACGACACGCATGGCTTACGGAGGAAAGATTCTTTTCCACTTCCCCATGGACAATAGAAGAAATAAAAAGGACAAGAGCTATTTAGAAAAAGGGAGAAAAACCTAGATGTATGTATATATATATATGCATGTGCGTGTCTGTGAAGTGTGACCAAAGTGTAAGTAGGAGTAGCAAGATATCCCTGTTATCTAGCGTGTTTATGAGACAGAAAAAGAAACCAGCAATCCTACCATCATGCAAAACAGTTACAGGTTTTTGTTTCACAGTCATCTGGCAGGACGGTAGTACTTCCCTGGGTGGTTGCTGTCTACCAACCTACTACCTAGAATTATTGAGTATATATACGTCTGAAACACTGGCTCGTAAGACGTATATATACGACCAAAACAGTCAAAGGGTTAAATGTTGATGAAGATAGGGAAGCTGTGATTTCGTGTATAGGGCAAGGAGGAATAACATCTTGTAGGAGTGAGGAAGAGCCAGTTGTGAGTGTGGGGGAAGTTCGTGAGGCAGTAGGTAAAATGAAAGGGGGTAAGGCAGCCGGGATTGATGGGATAAAGATAGAAATGTTAAAAGCAGGTGGGGATATAGTTTTGGAGTGGTTGGTGCAATTATTTAATAAATGTATGGAAGAGGGTAAGGTACCTAGGGATTGGCAGAGAGCATGCATAGTTCCTTTGTATAAAGGCAAAGGGGACAAAAGAGAGTGCAAAAATTATAGGGGGATAAGTCTGTTGAGTATACCTGGTAAAGTGTATGGAAGAGTTATTATTGAAAGAATTAAGAGTAAGACGGAGGATAGGATAGCAGATGAACAAGGAGGCTTTAGAAAAGGTAGGGGGTGTGTGGACCAGGTGTTTACAGTGAAACATATAAGTGAACAGTATTTAGATAAGGCTAAAGAGGTCTTTGTGGCATTTATGGATTTGGAAAAGGCGTATGACAGGGTGGATAGGGGGGCAATGTAGCAGATGTTGCAGGTGTATGGTGTAGGAGGTAGGTTACTGAAAGCAGTGAAGAGTTTTTACGAGGATAGTGAGGCTCAAGTTAGAGTATGTAGGAAAGAGGGAAATTATTTCCCAGTAAAAGTAGGCCTTAGACAAGGATGTGTGATGTCACCGTGGTTGTTTAATATATTTATAGATGGGGTTGTAAGAGAAGTAAATGCGAGGGTCTTGGCAAGAGGCGTGGAGTTAAAAGATAAAGAATCACACAAAGTGGGAGTTGTCACAGTTGCTCTTTGCTGATGACACTGTGCTCTTGGGAGATTCTGAAGAGAAGTTGCAGAGATTGGTGGATGAATTTGGTAGGGTGTGCAAAAGAAGAAAATTAAAAGTGAATACAGGAAGGAGTAAGGTTATGAGGATAACAAAAAGATTAGGTGATGAAAGATTGGATATCAGATTGGAAGGAGAGAATATGGAGGAGGTGAATGTATTCAGATATTTGGGAGTGGACGTGTCAGCGGATGGGTCTATGAAAGATGAGGTGAATCATAGAATTAATGAGGGGAAAAGGGTTAGTGGTGCACTTAGGAGTCTGTGGAGACAAAGAACTTTGTCCTTGGAGGCAAAGAGGGGAATGTATGAGAGTATAGTTTTACCAACGCTCTTATATGGGTGTGAAGCATGGGTGATGAATGTTGCAGTGAGGAGAAGGCTGGAGGCAGTGGAAATGTCATGTCTGAGGGCAATGTGTGGTGTGAATATAATGCAGAGAATTCGTAGTTTGGAAGTTAGGAGGAGGTGCGGGATTACCAAAACTGTTGTCTAGAGGGCTGAGGAAGGGTTGTTGAGGTGGTTCGGACATGTAGAGAGAATGGAGCAAAACAGAGTGACTTCAAGAGTGTATCAGTCTGTAGTGGAAGGAAGGCGGGGTAGGGGTCGGCCTAGGAAAGGTTGGAGGGAGGGGTAAAGGTGGTTTTGTGTGCGAGGGGCTTGGACTTCCAGCAGGCATGCATGAGCGTGTTTGATAGGAGTGAATGGAGACAAATGGTTTTTAATACTTGACGTGCTGTTGGAGTGTGAGCAAAGTAACATTTATGAAGGGGTTCAGGGAAACCAGCAGGCCGGACTTGAGTCCTGGAGATGGGAAGTACAGTGCCTGCACTCTGAAGGAGGGGTGTTAATGTTGCAGTTTAAAAACTGTAGTGTAAAGCACCCTTCTGGCAAGACAGTGATGGAGTGAATGATGGTGAAAGTTTTTCTTTTTCGGGCCACCCTGCCTTGGTGGGAATCGGCCAGTGTGATAAAAAAAAAAAATAATAATCTCTCTCTCCTACACACTCTTACCTGAGCCTCCTTATCCTCATAAAAACTCTTTACAGCATTTTGTAATTAGGTCTGATGATGATAGGAGTGAAAGAATCTAATCAATTTACTTACTGGCTTCTTGAAGACACTGTGTTCCAAAAGGAAGATGGACATAAAAGTGGCATGGAGTAATAACTGATGTTACTATAACTGCAAGTAAGGAATTCTCTTGTACTAATGGATGAAGCTCCAAATATTCTTGATGTACTTCCTCCTTTTCAACTGTTATACCATCTGAAAGTGAACAAAAATATACAAGCCATGTTAATGACAGTGATGAAATAAAATAAACAGTATAGCCTGAGAAGACAATATGCATGTACATAGCCTGTGCAGAAAGTTATATTGTTAGCTGCAAGAAAAACTTCTCATCACTAGAACATATGGCAACAGATAGTTGAAGTCAAGAATTTCTAAAAATCTCGAGAACAACTTGGACACCAATTGCAAGTGGAGCCATGCAGCCTCAAGAGTGGCCTCACATCCACCTCTTAGTCAAACTCTGTACTATGTTCAATGCAGCTCAGATGATGGTGAATTAGATGGATAATAATGTATAATTATCTTAGAATAGGAAAGTGATTTGTTCTTTGCTTCATACCTGCTCCACCTCTGAAGCAGAGAACATGGACTATAGTGTAGAATTCAACCCAAAGGCAGATGAGCACACTCTTGAAGTTGCAAGGCCCAAACTGCAACTGTTGCACAGACATCCAGACTTAACCATCTGTTTCACTGATCCAAAGATTGTTCTGTAGCTAGCATCATAACTTTACATGCAGATTATACACATACTCTATTCTTGGTACAATGTATTCAGTAACCTGCCTGGAAAGATCAAATCTTTAATATCAGCGTATGTAGACACAGTAAAGCTCATGGGAACAGAAATACAAGAGCAGTGTACTGAGGAAGGCAAATGCTAGTGGGCAAGAAGTGTTATTTATAAAACACTAGAACAAAATGTTTTATGGGACCTGATGACCTGTTGGAGTGTGAGCAGGGTAATATTTTGTGAAGGGATTCAGGGAAACTGGTTAGATGGACTTGAGTCCTGGAAATAGGAAGTACAATGCCTGCACTTTAAAGGAGGGGTTTGGGATATTGGCAGTTTGGAGGGACGTCTAAGCTGTCATAACTGAGCACCTCTACAAAGACTGATTATGTATGAGTGATGGTGAAAGTGTTGAATGATGATGAGTTTTTTCTTTCTTTTTGTGTTTTTCTTTCTTTATGGGTCACCCTGCCTTGGTGGGAAATGGCCGACATGTTAAAAAAAAAGAACAAAATATTTTAAATTGCTCATGAAAGACACAGAAGGGCTTTAACAGACTATATACTAGACTACTGAAGAGTAGGCAAAGGCAAGAACTATTACTTAACATTTTTTGAAGGAAGCCGGTTAAAACAGATGAAAATTTAAAGAATACATTAAAATACAATTTTTTGATTGCAGAACTACTGAGCAAAGTATCCAAGACCCTAGTCCACAATTAGATAATTTCCTGTTATTTTCTTTAATGAATGTTTTATGTACATTTGTTAGCAACTAAGGAAGCACACAAAAGTAATACTAAAAAGGCACATGTTATTATTATGCACATAGGGAAGTACTAAACCTGTAAGGGTTCTACAATCATTGGGGAATCGGGTTTGATCTGAAGAAGGGACAGGAAGGACAGTGTGCCTGAAAAACAGTGAATACTAGTGGCTTTCTTTTGTGCCTACCAATGTTTTATTACATGTAAACTACATTGCTTGTACTGCATAAATAAATAAAACTGTACTTTATTGTATTCCTTGGAACAGGAGCACATCACCAGTGTCAATGCACAATATCTTTGAAGGGCCAAAGGCATGTAAAAAATTGAATTTCTGAATTCCATTGAACAATGGAACCCTAAAATTTAATCAAAGAGGGAATAATATGGATATAAAAATCACTGATACTTTTAAAAATAAGTACAGCAAGATTGAAGATAAAAAGAAAATACAAATGCAGTTTTATTCCTTTAACTTCACCCTTCAAAGATGGTGCTTTAATGCTGGTGAAGGTCTCTCAATCCAAAGACTTGGAGGTACCCTTCCGTTCCCTGGATCAAACCTGATTACTTCACATTCCTCAGGTGCTGTATTTCCCAAGGAAAATAATAATAATCATAATAATAATTCTCTAACTGCAAATATGTAATCCTAGAGAGAGAGGGTTAGGACATGAGGAAAAGTAGAAAAAAAATCAATATTCACAACTTAATGTTAATGCGCTATAAACATCAATTAATATAAGAACAAGGATAGTCACACAAGAATAATAGGTCCTGCTTAGCATTAGATAGTTAAACAATAAGAATAAAAAAATGCTCAGCACTAGGATAGTCGCCCAATAAAAATAACAAGTCATGTTTAACAATAAGAAAGTCACACAAGAACAACAGACCATGCTTGGCATTAGGATAATAACCCAGCAAAAATAAGACATGCTCAATACAAGGATACTCACACACCTCTTCTTATTCTTGTGTGTTCTAATCTGCAGGTTTCACCCCTAGGACACTTGCGCCCCTTGCAAAAGAACTTACAAAGGCGAGCCTCATCATTGTTTCTTCTTCCCAAAATTACAGTTTCTGCACATTCATCGTTGTGTAGTACAGAGTTTTCAGGACTGAAATACACACTCGACATCGGATCCCATCCATCCTGAAATTTTTAAACACATTTATTACAAAATGGTACAACAATGGAATGAATACAAGATGAAGTACACTGGAAATTCAATAAAATAATTTGACAGGTTAAATACAGGTATATCTCACTATATGTTGCAGATGTGTTCCAGGTTCTTGGCAGTTGTACTAAACTTAATCAGGTCCTTAACACTTAATTCTGCATAAAAAGTTTCTATGTGGAACAAAAAAAGGTACAATACCGTGACTAGAACAATACAGAAATAACCTGCACATAAGAGAAAGAAACTTATGACGATGTTTCAGTTCGACTTGGACCACTAAGTAGCTGCACACTAACACACAAAGGTAAGGGATTATACTGGCTCTCTTGCCTTTATGTGTTAATGTGTGACAAGTCATCATAAATTTCTTTTTCATATGTGAGGGTTATTTGTGCAATTTTCTACATGCTTTGTGAACCATAACAGTCACATGTAGTAAATGTTTACTGCATATATAAAATTACTAATGGAAATAGGGCATTACATAATAGCAATTTTGTATAAAGTGGAAGTATATAAAGTAAGTTTTAAGGAAATCTGTAGTGAACTTGAAAATCATGAGGATAGCTTGGTCCCTACACTTGTAAAGAGGGAATTATATGCACACAAAGTATAACACATCAAACTAATAACAATGCCAGAATAACAATATGAAACTACAGTACCTTAAGCTTCAGTAATTTGATCTTTTAATATCATGCACAGCACTCTTAGAATTCATAAATGAAAAATACTTACTGGTATTTCTTCTTCATCATGCTTTATTTCTTCCAAACCTGAAAAAAAGAGTTACATATCTAAACAGTATGACAAATTTTACAGGTAGATTAAAATTGAAAACCAATGGAATCGAAGCGAGAAAACTGCAGAGGCAACAATAAGAATAATGCAACAGGCTTTATATTTCCCACCAAGGCAGAGGGAACCAAAAGAGGTAACAAGTAACAAAGTTATCACAACTCTCCCTAGCACACAGTTAAAGAATTAATGCTGTAATTTGGTAAGGTTTTTTTAAGTTTCTATTAGGTTAGATTAACTTAATCTGGCTTGGCCTAATTTAAGGGGTTAGGATGTTATCTCTATGTAACAGCTGGGTTACCTGGAGGTTATTCTGGGGATCAACGCCCCCGCAGCCCGGTCCATGACCAGGCCTCCCGGTGGATCAGGGCCTGATCAACTAGGCTGTTACTGCTGGCTGCACGCAGTCCAACGTACGAGCCACAGCCCGGCTGATCCGGCACTGACTTTAGGTATCTGTCCGGCTCTCTCCTGAAGGCAGCCAGGGGTTTATTGGTAATTCCCCTAATGCTTGATGGGAGGCTGTTGAACAGTCTTGGGCCCCGGACACTTATAGTGTTTTCTCTTAGTGTACCAATGGCGCCCCTACTTTTAGTTGGGGGTATTTTGCATCGCCTGCCCAGTCTTTTACTTTCGTAGAGAGTGATTTCTGATTTCTGTGTGCAGATTCGGGACCATTCCTTCCAGGATTTTCTAAGTGTGGATTATGATATATCTCTCTCTCCTGCGTTCCAACGAGTACAAGTCAAGTGCTTCCAAGCATTCCCAGTAGTTAAGGTGCTTGACAGAACTTATACGTGCAGTAAAGGATCTCTGTACACTCTCTAGATCTTCAATTTCACCTGCTTTGAATGGAGATGTTAATGTACAGCAGTATTCCAGCCTAGAGAGAACAAGTGATTTGAAAAGGATCATCATTGGCTTGGCACCTCTCATTTTGAACGTTCTCATTATCCATCCTATCATTTTCTTTGCACTTGTGATCGTGGCACTCTTGTGATCCTTGAAAGTGAGATCCTCAGACATTACTACTCCCAGGTCCCTTACATTATTTTTCCGCTCTATTGTATTGCCAGAGTTTGTAGCATACTCTGTTCTAGTTATTATCTCCTCCAGTTTTCCATAACGGAGTAGTTGGAATTTGTCCTCATTGAACATCATATTGTTTTCCGTTGCCCACTGGAAAACTTTGTTTATATCTTCTTGGAGGTTAACTGCGTCCTCAGCAAATGACAGCCTCATGCAGATCCTAGTATCATCCGCAAAGGATGATACGGTGCTGTAGTGTATATCTCTGTCTATGGAATAAGATGGGGGCAAGTACTGTGCCTTGTGGAACAGAGCTCTTCACTATGGCAGCCTCTGATTTAACTCTGTTGACCACTGCTCTTTGTGTTCGATTTGTTAGGAAGTTGAAGATCCATTTCCCCACTTTCGGGGTTATTCCTTATGCACGTATTTTGTGCGCTATTACGCCATGATCGCATTTGTCAAACGCTTTTGCAAAGTCTGTGTATATTACATCTGCATTCTGATTTTCTTCCAGTGCATCCAAGGCCATATCATAGTGATCCAGTAGTTGTGAGAGGCAGGAGAGACCTGCCTTGAACCCATGTTGCCCTGGATTGTGCAGATTTTGGGAATCCAGGTGATTTGCAATCCTGTTTCTTAGAACTCTTTCAAAGATTTTTATGATGTGGGACGTCAGAGCTATTGGTCTATAGTTCTTAGCTAATGCTTTGCTGCCACCTTTATGGAGTGGGACTATATCCATTGTTTTAAGTGACTGTGGAATTTTACCCATGTCCAAGCTCCTTCTCCTTAGTGTACTTAGGGCACGCGAGAGGGGTTTCTTGCAGTTCTTAATGAATACAGAGTTCCACGAGTCTGGGCCGGGGCTGAGTGCATGGGCATGTTGTCAATGGCTTTTTCGAAGTCAAATCGGAGTTAGGGTAATGTCGGAAATCTGGCATACATTTATGGAGTTATGAGGCTCATTCACAAAGAAATCATTTGGGTCATCGATCCTCAGACTGATTAGTGGCTCACAACACAGAGTCGTACTGGATTTTCAGTATTTCATTCATTTCCTTGTTGTCATCTGTTTAAGTCCCATCTGTCTGAGTAAGAGCCCGATACTAGATGTGGTATTGCCTTGTTTTTGGCATATGAAAAGAAATATTTCAAATTTCTTTCAATTTCACTAATAGCTTTAAGCTCCTGTCTCTCCTGGTTCCTGTAAAGTCATTTAACTTAAGTTCGAAGTTTCCACTTCCTGGTCAGCGCTCCTTTCGTGTATCAGATATTCTAGCACTCCTGAGGAGCTCAGTGACTCTTCGTCGTCTTCTGTTTGAGGGAGCATCTTTCTCTTCTCCAGTTTACTCCTGCTCTTCTTCTTTCTAGGGGAATATGCCTAAAACATGCTTCAGCTGCCAGGAAGTTGATCCTTTCAAGGCACTGGTTTGGATTCATATCATTTAAGACATCTTCCCAACATGTTTCATTTAGGACATGGTTTACCTGGTCCCAGTTGATGCTCTTGTTGTTGAAGTTGTATTTGTGAAGACACCTTTACAGGTACATGCATTCTGCTGATCAGAACCCCTATGCATGTACGTCTGGACTTCGATTAGGTGTGATCGGAATTTGTTGTTTTTGATATGGATCTGACCATATCCCTGTTATAATACAACTAAAAACTTCTCCATTTAGAATACCTGTACCTCCTAAACCCAATCTTAACACCCTAGGATTTGACCCTTCAGGGCATTTCTGGGTGATGATGAAATTGTGTCATTGGAAAATCTACCTTCCACTGCAATTGATGATGCAATCAGGTCCCTGCATAATCGAATAATTGAAGCTACTAATGTAACTTGTCAATTAGCTTCCACAAAGATTTCCAACAATATAAACCTACTAGGGAAATTAGAGACAATTTAAGAAATTATCAAGCAGAATGTCGAAGGCATCTTCAAACGCGACAACCACCAGCAGCTACACTGAAACCGATTAAGACAAGAATTTAATTAACATGATTAGTCATCACAAACGGGACTTATGGAAATTGCTAGTTTTTCAACCCATAATCAGTACAAACGTGAACCAGCAAAATTTTGGAGTAAGATCCGACAACTTTTAGGGGCAAAGCACAAGGCTCCTAACTACCTAGTTCATACCTTCACTGATGAGGATGATGAAGATGTTGAAATTAAACTTGACGATCCACAGGACCAGGCTAATTTGATGGGTGATGTATGGGAGAAAATTCTCTCCCACAATAACAGTCGTCAATTTAACAATAATCATTATCAGTTGGTAAATGAATGGAGAAATGAGAACTTGGATGATCTACAACCCACTACCTTCCATCGATACTTCAACTCTTGAAGATACCCACCCGCTTACTAGACCTATTACATTATTAGAGATGAGTCAGGTTATTGGAAGAATAAGCAATAGAGCCCCTGGCCTCTCTGGAATAACAATGAAACAAATAAAGTTCCTCCCCAGAAATTGTAAACAGTCTTTGGTAAATTTTCTTTAATGCCATCTTGGCCTCAGGACATTTTCCAGTGGTTTTTAAGACTGCTAGGATGATCTTTCTAGGTAAGCCCAATAAAGACATTCACCAACCGGGGAACTACAGACCTATATCTTTACTTGAAGTCACTGGAAAAGTTCTTGAGAAGGTCATTTCCAACAGATTGAACTACTATATGGAGTTTAAACACTTTTTTACTGAAAAACAATTTGACTTTAGAACACACAGAGGTACCAATCATGCAATAAATGTTATTTTCGATACTGTAGCAAGTCTAAAACATCAGGGGAAATCTTGCCTTAATTGCCACCAGAGATGTTCATAAAGCTTTTGATAGCCTATGGCATGATGGCCTTATATACAAACTCATTGACCCACCAGACCATAACTGGACTTTCCTCAGAGTAATATATAATTTCTTAACTCAAAGAAAAATCATTCCCACCTTTCATGGCAGGTTGACAGAGCTTTTATACCGACGGCTGGTGTCCCACAAGGTTTTGTCTCAGTCCACTTTGTTCAACATTATGTGAATGACCTTCCTCAACCAGAGTTTAGTGATACCGATTGTGACACAGTTTGTAGATGATGTTTTCATGTCATCTCATCAACTCCGGAAACAGGAAAATACAAGTATGAGAGAGTCATAGAAAAAATGAATATTGAACTTCGTCGAACATCTAATTGGGAAAAGAAGTGGAGAATTACGACTAATCCTTTGACAAGGTCCTTGTTAGCACGATAGGATGTTTTGCATCAACAATTGAAGATAGAGGAGGTATCTCCATCAGAGGTACACCTGTAGCCATTAGAAACCTAACAAGATTTTGGGGTACGAAATAGACAGGCTGCTCCACTCAACATCTCATGTAACTAAAAAGATCAACATAGCCAAAGCCGGTCTTTGCAGTCTCTTTCGATTCAATCAAGCCCCTCAACATGTCAAAAAAACATCTGTATAAAATGTTAATAAGACCTATACTCGAATACCCTTGTGTCCCAATGTCATTAACAACAAAGACAAATATGCTACAGTTACAAAGGGTCCAGAATAGAGCTCTTCGCTTCATTACCGATACCAGGAGGAGAGACAGAGTAAAAATGGCAGATTTACACATACAACAAGATATTACTGCCATAAATGTACGCCTTGACACCCTAAAAAAGAAACAACTCTATACAATGCAAGAACTATAAAATGCCAGATAGAGAACATCCTATACAAGTGGTAAATACCACGGATTATATCATCAATACTCCTCCTCACAGGACTCAAAGAATGACTCTCCCACAGAGGGTCCGTCGTTTTATACATAAAGATGATTACCCTCGACCCATGATATTGAGCAACCTCCCTGATGAAGAAGATTGGGTAACACCAGAACCCTTCTATGTATACTGAGAACATCATCGCCCCCAATTAGGGAGACATCTTATATAACAATCTAATGTAAAATTATGCTTTTTACTATGGCTGGACACCACCTGTAAGAAGCCATTGTCACGGAATTCTATAAACTGGCCAGAAAATTATTGCCTTCATTGTCGCATAAATATCCGTTGTGCAATCGCAAAAAAAAAAAAAAAAAAAAAAAAAAAAAAAAAAAAAATGCAACTTGTATAATTACTACCAATTTAGAGTCATGTACTTATATTCTGTTATATCTAAAGTGACTCTGATGGGTTAGTCTTATACCTCTTAAAGAATATCTTATCATTTCATGTACAACTTTTTAAATTACACCAAAGTGGTTGGGCCACTTACCTTTTATATCCTACCTCTCCCCCCCTCCCACCCTTTTCCAAAATTTCTAAACCTTACCCATCCTTCTTCCTTACCCATCTCACCAAAGCTCTGGTCTGGATACTGATACTACTGATATTCTTATGTCTCTTATCAGGTCCTCATTATTTGTGAAGATAAGGTCAAGTGTGTTTTCTAGTCTTGTTGGCTCCACTATCTGCTGGCTTAAGGTGTGTTTTTCGCAGAGACTTAGTAGCTCATGTGTGTGTGACCTTTCATCTGCGCTACCTCCGGGGATTATTTCAGCTATAACATTACTCGCTAAATTCTTCCATTTTGTATGCCTTAGGTTGAAATCACCAAGCAGTAAGATGTTTGGGGATGGAGCTGGAAGGCTTTCCAGACAGTAATCAATTTTCAGTAGCTGTTCCTTGAACTGTTGGGAGGTTGCATCTGGTGGCTTTTATACAACCACAATGACTATGTTTTGGTTCTCGATCTTTATTGATAGAACTTAACTACCTCATTTGTGGTGTTCAGCAACTCCGTGCAGATGAGGGACTCTTTGACATACAGGCCAACCCCCCCTTGTTGCCTGTTCTTTCTGTCGCATCTAAAGAGGTTGTAACCACTTATCCATATTTCACTGTCAAAGTGATCTTTTGTGTGAGTTTCTGTGAAGGCTGCAAACATTGCATTAGACTCCTCTAGAAGTCCACTGATAAAAGGTATTTTGTTGTTGGTGGATGGCTTAAAGCCCTGTATATTAGCAAATATGAACGAGGTTGTATTCTGTGTTTGTTGGAGAGATTTTGTTATTGGCATCAGTAGCTGTAGTTCTGGAGGGCCATGGGTGGCCACTGGCTGCACCTCCAGTCCAACAAGGCTCCAAGGCAGTAGACTATTTTTGTTATTTCCTTCCATTTTCTTTTTCCGTTTCCTGCCACTAAAAAATCACCTGGAGTTGGGTTGTCGTAGCTACTATTGTTTGTCTTGTGGGGTCTGTGCCTCCTGGTCCCTTTTAGATGGTATGTCACTCCAGGTCCTTCTGGAGGACCGAGGAGTGACACATTTTTGGGTGAAAGAAAGTACAGGAAGAAGAACGACACACTTCTTTAGACAGGAGGTCGCTACATTTTTTGGGATGCTCAAAGTTGCATGTCCCATTTTTTTTCCTGATATTCCATGCTTACAAATGCCCCAAGCATAATATTTGCACAAATTCACCTTTGGTTGAGAATTGTTGGGAGGTGTGTTGTCAATTTCTGCAGGTTCTGGGACTGCATTATAATCCTCAGTATCCAAGCCAAGGCCACCCCGTCCTGGATTTCATTTACTTTCCTCAGTAGAGGAAGGAGCAGGAGACTCCTCTCCTACATCTGTACTGTGGGCCACGGTCTTGTGCAATGATGGCTGTATATTTACGGTTTTAGTGGTGGTTGTGGTAGGGTCCTTAGTAGAGTCTGGGCTGGCAATAAGGCTGGGGGCTGGGACTGAGTCAGCACTGGGGCTGGGGGCTGAGCCTGGGCCAGTACCAGCACTGTGGTTATTAGTGCTCTGACTGAGGGATGGGTCTGGTTTAGCACTATGTGGGTGACTAGATAGTTTCGAGTTATCTGTTGTGGTATGGGCATTCTGCATTTTTTGATTCACTCTCTCTTTCTCCCATGTTTTATATATTTTTGGTAGACTATTGAAGAGGTCATCTTTCTTTTCTTGATTATTTTTATCATTTATTACTCTCCTTAGTACCTTTCTGATACCTGCCCAAAGTTCTACATTTTTATTGCACAACTAGAAACACCTTGCTAGTTCGAGGTCATTTTTTGAGGCTGTATTTAGTCTAGTACAAGAGATATGGTGTTTGGAAAAGCATAGGTTGCATGTGATTCTGGATTTCTTTCCAAGGATTTTTTTACATGTCCCACAGATATGCTGTGCTGACATCCTGTCAGCACAGCTGGAGGTACTGTACTGTATAAACAACTAGCAAAGTGTCTTACACTAAGATCCTATGATTATAAAAGCACAAGTTTCACATTTGGGCCCACAGACTGCATTATTTGAGGATGACTATGGGAATTATCAAGCAAAGAAAGCCTTGAATGCCAGGTTATTTCTGGCCAGATACATCTTGACTACAGGAATAAATTTTTTTTTCAACAAACCGGCCATATCCCACCAAGGCAGGGTGGCCCAAAAAGAAAAATGAAAGTTTCTCTTCTTAAATTTAGTAATTTATACAGGAGAAGGGGTTACTAGCCCCTTGCTCCTGGCATAAAATATGTTTTCATTTATTCAGTAGTCTGTTAGACAACTGCATGGGGAAATGGAACAGAATTCTTCCTTCATAAGCAAAGCATGTTGTAAGAGGCAACTAAAATGCTGGGAGCAAGAGCCTACTAACCCCTTCTCCTGTATAAATTACTAAATTTAAAAAGAAAAACTTTCATTTTTTCTTTTTAGGTCACCCTGCCTCATTGGGATATGGCCAGTGTATTGAAAAAAAAAAGTTAGACAAATAAATTAGCAGAAATTCAATATAATTTCATCCATCTGTCACAACTTGATAATGGTTCAGGACTGACTAAAATGTTGCCTATAATTTTCCTCCCCAAATTGTACATTAGTTGTGAATTATTCCAGCCATGATACTGTGATTTTCATGCTTCTTCTGTATGTCATTATACAGAACAGACAAAAAGAAGTACTTCTAGACAGTAATAAACCTGTAAAAGAGGCTAGTATACCAAAGCTGTTATGAAGGTATCTTTCACAAGTCAGAATTTTATCATTTGTCCTGAACAGTATCTGCGATAGCAGTATGGTGAATACATTTATCATAGGGATACAGAAGTTTTAGCAGTTTTTAAGAACAAGACAATGCCAAATCAAATTATTTTCTATACAAAACCTAGTACAAAATATAAATGCATTCCAAATGGTATTTACCTTGAGATCTGTATTGAGATTCATCATGATCAGATACTTGTGGAGAGAACTTGGGGATGGCAAAACCTCGAGCTATAAACTCATCATTCACCACCACACCGTCAGGTCTTGTAAGTAGAATGTTGTATGTGCCACTCCTTGAATAACAGAAAACTAATCAGTAAAGTAGTAACAGATACTTCAAAAGCATCAATTTCCATATTTTACAAACCCTATTATTCAAAGTACATATTGAAAAAGTCATTGTAAATATTTGGAGTCCAGTTATAGGCTATAATGAAAGCAAAAAATAATTTTTTATAAAAAAAAATGAGATAGCAAAAAACTGATAGGCATACAATTAGTGTTAAAAAATGTTTAAATGTTTTATATAATGTACATACTATAGATGAGCCATCTTAAAAAAAAAACTAATGCAATAAGTGTGCCATAAACAAGCTAAGTTCTCCCAAGAAGGCTGTTAGTATGGTGGTTATCAATTTATTGTATGTGAATATTTGTGTAAGGTGAGTAACTAAATACTTATGTAAATACTGTACCCACAGATTAGGCACCCTGGAAAGAAACTATGCACATTCTGTGACAAATTCTGTAACACAAGAAATATTAGTCACAAAAACTGTTAAACCATATGGGTCCTTCAGTAAGGTCTGCTACATAATTTTTTTACTTAGCACTTTAAGAGGGCTGGTAGAATGCAACTATATGATATCTGTTAATGGTTCTGAGGATCACCACCCCTACACCCCAACTTCAGACCAGGAATCCTGTTACAGAAATAACAGTTACTATTAAGAAACACGTTCTGTTGTCTAAAGAAATACCAAACATGAAGTTCCATAAATAACAAAAAGGCACAATACCGTGACTGGAATGATACACAAATAACCCGCACATAAAAGTGAGAAGCTTACGACGACGTTTCAGTCCGACTTGGACCACTGACTTTGTCAATGGTCCAAGTCGGACCGAAACGTCGTCGTAAGCTTCTCACTTTTATGTGCGGGTTATTTGTGTATGAAGTTCCATTTGTATACATAATGGGAAGTTACTTGGAGAGAGAAACTTGATGAATATACAAGATATTTATAGCCACATCCTACTAAAGACTGTCAGAGAAAAATAAAGATTTGTGTATACAGAATGTAAATATGGTAAAGGTTACAAATTTTGTAAAGTTATCTTACATGTTCATGAAACCAATAAAAGGAGAGTAATCCAGCCAGAGTGCAAAACATTTAATATAGTGTGTGTGAATATTTAGAGTTTTGATATACAGAAATTTTGGTTTGTTAAGTCTAAATGAATACTGTTGCTATTTTAGCCCTCTGAGGGTCCGTCCTGTAGATCTACGGCTTTGAAGAAAGGGTCCAAACCGTAGATCTATACCATGAGCTCAGCTCACTCGGACAACCTGTGAGTGGTAAATTTGGGACTGGATATGAGAGAACACATCTGTGTGGTAAGTGTGCACCACATAAAACAAATCCTTCAGCACACTGTGCATAATGAGAGAAAATAACTGCAACTGTAATTTTGGGTTAAAACAGCGACTTTGAAGTTTTTTTTCGTATGTTTTACAGTTGTATTCGCGATTTCTTGGTCTCATTTGATGGAAAGGAAGATTTTTTTTTTTTTTTTTTTTTTTTTTATCACACTGGCCGATTCCCACCAAGGCAGGGTGGCCCGAAAAAGAAAAACTTTCACCATCATTCACTCCATCACTGTCTTGCCAGAAGGGTGCTTTACACTACAGTTTTTAAACTGCAACATTAACACCCCTCCTTCAGAGTGCAGGCACTGTACTTCCCATCTCCAGGACTCAAGTCCGGCCTGCCGGTTTCCCTGAATCCCTTCATAAATGTTACTTTGCTCACACTCCAACAGCACATCAAGTATTAAAAACCATTTGTCTCCATTCACTCCTATCAAACACGCTCACGCATGCCTGCTGGAAGTCCAAGCCCCTCGCACACAAAACCTCCTTTACCCCCTCCCTCCAACCCTTCCTAGGCCGACCCCTACCCCGCCTTCCTTCCACTACAGACTGATACACTCTTGAAGTTATTCTGTTTCGCTCCATTCTCTCTACATGTCCGAACCACCTCAACAAATAAATAGAGATGATTTTGATTGGTTTTAGTATTGAAAATGGCTTGAAACTGAGCTCAAAAAAGCAGAAATGTTCAATTTTTGCTGATGTTCAGAAGTAAACAAATGTCGTCACAAGTCTAATACGCGTCAGCCAGTGGGTCTAATATACATTCACGAATGTGTTGATATTATTTAAACAATTATTACAACATTGCATAACAGTAAATCTTCTATTTTTTGGTGTGAATAAAAATTCATTACGTGAATAAAAAATAAAAATGGAATTCATTTGTAAAGCCTGAAAACATAACTAATGAACAGAGAAAATGTTATTTTAGTGCCAGGAATGTCTGCATTGTTCATTCAGAATCCTATTTTGAAACTGAAATATTTTGAACTTTGTGTTAAATTGACCAAATTACCAATTTCCAATCACTTTATTGGGTAGTTGAAACAGTTGACTGGGCAATTTCTTGTGCTCAATTGATAAAATAGAAGTAATACTAGTGAAATAGCTAAGAATTTGGTTGACTGGAATAATGTAATTGGCCTAAAATGGGAGTCAAAGTCAGCAAAATCGCCAGTGCGTAAATATCGCTGATGCATCAAAATTAATGAGAGCATAATTCGTCAATTTTCTAATGAATTTTGTACTTTTTGCTTTATTACCTTCAGAAAAAGATTCTCTACCATTTCATCAGAAAAAATAACAAAAAATGTTTTTGAAAATTCTTGGACCCTGGCTGTCACTCTGAGATTTGGCCTCGGACCCTCAAAGGGTTAATAGAGACCTTAGAAGACAAAAATTTGTTACGTATATAATAAACTCACAGAGAGTATTCTTGAAAACTTGCAAACAGAACAGATGAATAACCTCCACATAACTCGAGGAAGACCTTAATGCTCTCCGTAGACCACAAGTGCCCTTGCCACCCGTCTACAGGATATACCTGAAAAAGTTACAATAATTTTGATAACTGAAATGTTATAAAACTTTAATGACCAAAAAAAATATGGAATTAGATAATGTACATAAATACATGAAAAGTATACCTGAATGAGAAAGGGGGGGGGGGGGTCCAGAGGTCAAAGTCACTCATCACGGTCTGTAACCAGGCCACATGGTGGATCAGGGCCTGATCAATAAGGCTGCTACTGCTGCCTTCATGTAAACCGACATACAAGCCACATCTCGGCTGGTCAGTTACTGACTTAGGTGCCTGTCCAGTGCCTTCAAGGCAGCCAGGGGTCTATTGGTAATCCCCCTTATGTATGCTGGGAGGCAGATGAACAGTCTTGGGCCCCCAACACTTACTGTGTTGTCTCTTAGTATACTCGTGGCACCCCTGCTTTTCACTGGGAAGATGTTGCACCACCTGCAAAGTCTTTTGCTTTTGAAGGGAGTGATTTTCATGTGCAGATTTGGGACTAGTCCCTCTAGGATTTTCCACTACTTCTACTTACACTTAGGTCACACTACACATACATGTACACATTTATGTATACACACTCATCCAAGTTTTCTTTGATTTAATTTTAATAGTTCTTGTTCTTATTGCTTTTCCTTTTATATCCATGGGGAAGTGGAATAAGAATCTTTCCTCCGTAAGCCATGCGTGTTGTGAAAGTCAATTAAAATGCTGGGAACAATGGGCTAGTAACCCCCTTTCCCGTGTAGCCTACTAAAAAGAAAAAGAAGGAAACTGTCAAAGTGGGATGTTTGAATGTGTGTGGATGTTGTGCAAATGATAAGAAAGAGATGATTGTGGATGTCATGAATGAGAAGAAGCTGGATGTCCTGGCTTCAAGTGAAACAAAGCTCAAGGGGGGTGGGAGAGTTTCAGGGGAGAGAAATAAATGGGATTAGGTCAGGGGTTTCAAACAGAATTAGAGCTAAAGGAGTAGCAATAATGTTGAAGGATAAGTTATGGCAGGAAAAGAGGGAATATAAATGTATTAATTCAAGGATTATGTGGAGTAAAACAAGGGTTGGATGTGAAAAGTGGGTTATAGTAAGCATTTATGCACCTGGAGAAGAGAGAAGTGTAGAGGAGAGAGAGAGATTTTGGGAAATGTTGAGCGAGTGCATGGAGAGTTTTGAACCAAGTGTTAGAGTACTTGTGGTTGGGGATTTCAATGCTAAGTATGTTGTGGAGGGAGTAGTAGGTAAATTTGGGGTACCAGGGGTAAATGAAAATGGGGAACCTTTAATTGAGTTTTGTGTAGAAAGAGGTTTGGTAATAAGTTATATATATTTTATGAAAAAGAGGAAAAATCAGTACACAAGGTATGATATAGCACGTAATGATAGTAGTTTGTTAGATTATGTATTGGTGGATAAAAGGTTGATGGGTAGGCTTCAGGATGTACATGTTTATAGAGGGGCAACTGATATATCGGATCATTGTTTAGTTGTAGCTACAGTAAGAGTAAGAGGTAGATGGGACAAAAGGAAAATGGCAACAACAAGAAAGAGAGAGGTGAAAGTGTATAAGCTAAGGGAGGAGGAAGTTAGGGTGAGACATAAGCAACTATTGGCAGAAAGGTGGGCTAGTGCAAGTATGAGTAGGGTGGGAGGGCTGAAGAGGTTTGGAATAGTTTTAAAAATGCAGTATTATAATGTGGAGCAAAAGTTTGTGGCTATAGGAGCATAGGTGCAGGAGGAAAGAGGAGTGATTGGTGGAATGATGAAGTAAAGGGTGTGATAAGAGAGAAAAAGGTAGCTTACGAGAGGTTTTTACAAAGCAGAAGTGCTATTAGAAGAGCAGAGTATATGGAGAGTAAAAGAAAGGTGAAGAGAGTGGTGAGAGAATGCAAAAGGAGAGCAGATGATAGAGTGGAAGAGGCACTGTCAAGAAATTATGATGAAAATAAGAAAAAAATTTGGGGTGAGATAAACAACTTAAGAAGGACCAGGGAATGAATGGATTTGTCAGTTAAAAACAGAGTAGGGGAGTTAGTAGATGGGGAGCTGGAGGAATTGAGTAGATGGTGGGAATATTTTGAAGAACTTTTAAATATCGATGAAGAAAGGGAGGCGGTAATTTCATGCACTGGCCAGGGAGGTATAATATCTTTCAGGAGTGAGAAGAGCAGGATGTGAGTGTGGGGGAGGTGTGAGGCATCACGTAGAATGAAAGGGGGTAAAGCAGCTTGATCTGACGGGATCATGACAGAAATGTTAAAAGCAGGGGTCACATAGTGTTGGAGTGGTTGGTATTTTTGTTTAATAAATGTATGAAAGAGGGAAGGTACCTAGGGATTGGCGGAGAGCGTGTATAGTCCCTTTATATAAAGGGAAGGAGGACAAAAAGAGATTCTAAAAATTATAGAGGAATAAGTTTTCCTGAGTATACCAGGAAAAGTGTACGGTAGGGTTATTATTGAAAGAATTAGAGGTAAGACAGAATGTAGAATTGTGGATGAGCAAGGAGGTTTTAGAGTGGGTAGGGGATGTGTAGATCAAGTGTTTACATTGAAGCATATATGTGAACAGTATTTAGATAAGGGTAAGGAAGTTTTTATTGCATTTATGGATTTAGAAAAGGCATATGACAGAGTGGATAGGAGAGCAATGTGGCAGATGTTGCAAGTATATGGACTAGGTGGTAAGTTACTAAATGCTGTAAAGAGATTTTATGAGGATAGTGAGGCTCAGGTTAGGGTGTGTAGAAGAGAGGGAGACTACTTCCCGGTAAAAGTAGGTCTTAGACAGGGATGTGTAATGTCACCATGGTTGTTTAATATATTTATAAATGGGGCTGTAAAAGAAGTAAATGCAAGGGTGTTAGGGAGAGAGGTGGGATTAAATTATGGGGAATTAAATACAAAATGGGAAGTGACACAGTTACTTTTTGCTGATGATACTGTGCTTATGGGAGATTCTAAAGAAAAATTGCAAAGGTTAGTGGATGAGTTTGAGAATGTGTGTAAAGGTAAAAAGTTGAAAGTGAACATAGAAAAGAGTAAGGTGATGAGGGTATCAAATGATTTAGATAAAGAAAAATTGGATATCAAATTGGGGAGGAGGAGTATGGAAGAAGTGAATATTTTCAGATATTTGGGAGTTGACGTGTCAGCGGATGGATTTTCAAAGGATGAGGTTAATCATTGAATTGATGAAGGAAAAAAGGTGAGTGGTGCACTGAGGTATATGTGGAGGCAAAGAAGGGAATGTATGAAAGTATAGTAGTACCAACACTCTTATATGGGTATGAAGCTTGGGTTGTAAATGCTGCAGCGAGGAGACGGTTGGAGGCAGTGGAGATGTCCTGCCTAAGGGCAATGCGTGGTGTAAATATTATGCAGAAAATTCGGAGTGTGGAAATTAGGAAAAGGTGTGGAGTTAATGTAAGTATTAGTCAGAGGGCTGAAGAGGGTTTGTTGAGGTGGTTTGGTCATTTAGAGAGAATGGATCAAAGTAGAATGACATGGAGAGTGTATAAATCTGTAGGGGAAGGAAGGCAGGGTAGGGGTCGTCCTCGAAAAGGTTGGAGGGAGGAGGTAAAGGAGGTGTTGTGGGCAAGGGGTTTGGACTTCCAGCAAGCGTGCATGAGCGTGTTAGATAGGAGTGAATGGAGACAAATGGTATTTGGGACCTGATGAGCTGTTGGAGTGTGAGCAGGGTAATATTTAGTGAAGGGATTCAGAGAAACTGATTATTTTATATAACAGGACTTGAGTCCTGGAAATGGGAAGTACAATGCCTGCACTCTAAAGGAGGGGTTTGGGATATTGGCAGTTTGGAGGGACATATTGTGTATTTTTATACATATATACTTCTAAACTGTTGTATTCTGGGCACCTCTGCAAAAACAGTGATTATGTGTGAGTGAGGTGAAAGTGTTGAATGATGAAAGTATTTTCTTTCTTTTTGGGTCACCCTGCCTTGGTGGGAGATGGCCGACTTATTGAAAAAAAAAAAATATATATATATACACTTTTCCTGGTTTACTGAGTATACCAGGAAAAGTGTATGGAGGGTTATTATTGAAAGAATTAGTGGTAAGACAAAGGTGATTGTGGATGAGCAAGGAGGTTTTAGAGTTGGTAGGGAATGTGTAGATCAAGTGTTTACATTGAAGCATATATATGAACAGTATTTAGATAAAGGTAGGGAAGTTTTCATTGTATTTATGGATTTAGAAAAGGCATATGATAGAGTGGATAGGGGAGCAATGTGGCAGATGTTGCAAGTATATGGAACAGTTAGTAAGTTATTAAATGCTGTAAAAAGGTTTTATGAGGATAGTGAGGCTCAGGTTAGGGTGTGTAGAAGAGAGGGAGACAACTTCCCAGTAAAAGTAGGTCTTAGACAGGAATGTGTAATGTCATTATGGTTGTTTAATATATTTATAGATGGGGTTGTAAAAGAAGTAAATGCTAGGGTGTTGGGGAGAGGAGTGGGATTAATTAAGAGGAATCAAATACAAAATGGGAGTTGACACAGTTACTTTTTGCTGATGATACTGTGCTTATGGGAAATTCTAAAGAAAAGTTGCAAAGGTTAGTGGATGAATTTGGGAGGGTGTGTAAAGGTAGAGAGTTGAAAGTGAACATAGATAAGAGTAAGGTGATGAGGGTATCAAATGATTTAGATAGAGAAAAATTGGGTAACATAGATAAGAGTAAGGTGATGAGGGTATCAAATGATTTAGATAGAGAAAAATTGGGTATCACATTGGAGAGAGGGAGTATGGAAGAAGTGAATGTATTCAGATATTTGGGAGTTGACGTGTCAGCGGATGGGTTTATGAAATGTGAGGTTAACCATAGAACTGATGAAGGAAAAAAGATGAGTGGTGCATTGAGGTATATGTGGAGACATAAAAAAGTTATCTATGGAGGCAAAGAAGGGAATGTATGAAAGTATAGTGGTTACCAACTCTCTTATATGAGTGTGAAGCTTGGGTTGTAAATGCTGCAGCGAGGAGGTGGTTGGAGGCAGTGGAGATGTCCTGTCTAAGGGCAATGTGTGGTGTAAATATTATGCAGAAAATTCGGAGTGTGGAAATTAGGAAAAGGTGTGGAGCTAATAAAAGTATTAGTCAGAGGGCTGAAGAGGGGTTGTTGAGGTGGTTTGGTCATTTAGAGAGAATGTATCAAAGTAGAATGACATGGAGGGCATATAAATCTGTAGGGAAAGGAAGGCGGGGTAGGGGTCGTCCTCGAAAAGGTTGGTGGGAGGGGGTAAAGGAGGTTTTGTCGGCAAGGGGCTTGGACTTCCAGCAAGCATGCATGAACATGTTAGATAGGAGTGAATGGAGAAGAATGGTTTTTGGGACCTGACGAGCTGTTGGAGTGTGAGCAGGGTAATATTCGTGAAGGGATTCAGGGAAACCGGTTATTTTTATATAGCCGGACTTGAGTACTGGAAATGGAAAGTACAATGCCTGCACTTTAAAGGAGAGGTTTTGGATATTGGCAATTTGGAGAGATATGTTATATATCTTTATATATGCTTCTAAACTGTTGTATCTGGGTGCCTCTCTAAAAACAGTGATTATGTATGAGTGAGGTGAAAGTGTTGAATGATGAAAGTATTTTAGTTTTGGAGATTTTCTTTCTTTTTGGGTCACCCTGCCTTGGTGGGAGATGGCAGACTTGTTGAAAAAAAAAAATAATTATAATAATAATAATTATATTATTATTAGTAGTAGTAGTAGTATATTATTGCATCTTTATGTTTGTTTACATTTCTCTCGACTGCAAATGGAACATGTATGATCTATAATTGTTTGTCTGTGTGTAAGTTTTGAAAATTTAAAACTTTTTTATAATTGATTTGTGTTTATTTTATGGCAGCAAATGATAAAATACACTAATATCTACAAATATTTTATGAATTCGTGACGTACCTAACTTTTTCTTAAAAATCTCCCCCCAAAAATTGAAAAAGTCTGCATATAAGTGGACCCACGGAGTTCAAAACCATGTTGTTTGAGGGTCAACTGTATTTATATATTTTACCTTTAAAGATAAAGATTTATTTCTTTGTAAAGGTTACAGTGCGTAATTACAATTTTGGTTTGCTAAGTACAAAGAAAGCCAATATCGTGCTGGGGCATTTCGGGCAGACTAATCCTAGTATGTACATAGTAACTACTTAAAACTAGACAAGATAATAGTGGTTAACTTTATTACAATCTTATTTAATCTTAACACTAATGAGAGGTAGTCAAGGTTGAGGTTTATAAGAATAATAATCTTGAACTTGCACAAACAATTGTTCAGGCAGTAATATTTCATGGAATGGCAGATGTTTAAAAATCTAGAGGTCACATAATATAACTAATTAGAAGTTGTTTTGGCTGATTTGGTTAGTATTGAGAGATAAGATGATTTTTTAGCAAAGTCCTAAATTTATAAGTAGTTAGGGGATCCTTTACCGGTTCCAGTAATGAGTTCCAGATCTTTGGGCCCTTTATGTGCATAGCGTTTATCTCCATGGGGAAGTGGAAAAGAATTCTTCCTCTGTAAATGAAGCGTGTCATAAAAGGCAACTACAATGCCAGGAGAAAGGGAGCTAATAACCCCTTCTTCTGTATAAATTAATAAATGCAAAAAAAAAAAAACTTTAGTTTTTTCTAAATTTAATGATATAAGTTATTTAGTAATGTAATTTATTTAGTAATGTAATACTTTACTAATGTACTTTCTACATTTCTTTTTAGGTCACCCTGACTCGGTGGGAGACAGCTGGTGCATTAAAAAAAAATAAGTGACACATTTGTTTCACTAATACGTACTTGGAGCACACCTGGAGGGTGTTCCAGGGGTCAACGCCCCTGCAGCTCGGTCCATGACCAGACCTCAAAGTGGATCAGGGAATGATCAACCAGGCTGTCACTGCCACCCACAAGCAAACTGATGTACGAACCACAGCCCGGTTATTATTTTTATATAAAATAGATGCTTATGGTCTCACATACCTTAGGGTATAGGGGCAAATGCTAATATGCCCTTTTATTAATTGTAATTATTACTATATTATTCGTGGGTCTTCCAATACAAGGAGTTGTGGAGGTTTAATCTTCCAACTGCTAATCATGGCCCAGTCTCTGATCAGCCATGCTATTGGTAATTATCATTTTATTTATGATGGATTCTGCCTCTTCTTTATTTTAATTACGTATTGCAATTCTTTTAAAATAATACTGCAGAGGGTAACTGGGGAGAGCTGTTGTATTATACATATACTACATCTTTTTCTCATGTGCAAACCTAGGATAACATACATTACTAAAGACCTGCAAGAATCATAAGTCATACCTGGGCAAGGCAACACGGTACAGCCAAGGAGGGAAGGAGAGTAAGATCTTCATGTAAGACCCGAATGTCTTTGGTGCTTACTATCCCCTCATCTCCATAGTCAACAAAACTAACTCTCACTTGTGGATCCTTCTCCTGTGAACTCTAATGAGAAAGAATTACTAAATTTGGTAAATTCTGATGAACCATATTTTCTGGTACTCACATGTAGAAATAAAGCCAAAATACACATTCAAATAAAGGCAAATTATTATATTCATAGAAATCACTAAACCTGTAAGGGTCATTATGCATTATACAATAGTAGTGAATAAGATGGAAGGTGAGAAGTGCAAGTGTTGAGGGTAGGGCAGTGCTAGAAGAGGAAAAGATGGGGGTTATAAGTGATGCAATAAGCTGTTACCAATTTAAAAATCACAGCCTGCATTACAGGTAAAATTGTCAGAGAGGGGAGAGGAAAGCATACAAAATAAGCTTATCAGATCATTGAAGGTATCTGAAATAAGGTTAAAATGCTTTCTGATGAACAAGACAATCAGATAAGAGATACTGGACTGTCAATATGAGGTGATAATTCTCATGGTAGTGCCAGGTACCCTTAAATAAAAGCTAAGCAAAATAAAAATGCCTTGTTTATTTGAGGTTGATTTGATCTTTCTGATTAACAAAAGAAGAACCATTTGGTTATTCAGTGCAATCAACATAAACAATTACTGACATTATCAGTTTGCTACTATCTTTTCCAGCTTGGTATTCCCCTTGTCTTCTGCTGCAAGTGCTATACCACTATCAGACTGTCTGGTAGCTGCTGCTGTTAACTGCTGGTGAGAATGCCAACAGTTAAGTTGGATCTCACCTTCAAAGATCATAACATTGTATCAACTGCATCTGCTAGAAAAATGACAGGATGGATAATGAGAACTTTCAAAACTAGGGATGCCAAGCCCATAATGACACTCTTCAGGTCACTTGTTCTATCCAGGCTGGAATATTGCTGCACACTAACAGCACCTTTCAAGGCAGGTGAAATTGCTGACCTAGAAAATGTACAGAGAACCTTCACAGCACACATAACTGTGATAAAACACCTCAATTACTGGGAATGCTCGAATTCCTTAACATGTACCCACTAGAATGCAAGCAGGAGAGATACATGATTATATACACTTGGAAAATCCTAGAGGGACTAGTACCAAACTTGCACATGAAAATCACTCCCTATGAAAGCAAAAGACTCAGCAGACAATGCAACATCCCCCCAATGAAAAGCAGGGCTGCCACTAGCACAATAAGAGACAACACAAAAAGTGTCGGGGGCCCAAGACTGTTCAACTGCCTCCCAGCATACATAAGGGGGATTACCAATAGACCCCTGGCTATCATCAAGAAGGCACTGGACAGGCATCTAAAGTCAGTATCTGACCAGCCGGGCTGTGGCTCGTGTGTAGATTTGCATGTGGCCAAGAGTAACAGCCTGGTTGATCAGGCCCAATCCACCATGAGGCCGGGCCATGGGGGCGTTGATCCCCGAAACTCCCTTCAGGTATACTCCAGGTATATGTAATTCCAGACCTGAATCAGAAATGAAATTTGCCTTTACATTCTGCTAATTCTTGGGTATCTTCCCTTCCTTCCTATGCACAAACTCACCAACCATTATTCCCACCTGCTTTCACTCTTATACACCTTTACCTTTCTTACTACTTCACTCTCTTCCATCATCCTCAATTCCTAATCTTTTCTCATTCAAATAGATCTCAGTCTGAGCATCCCAAACAAGAAATTTCTGTATTTCATATTCTACTTTCAAGAAATTTTCAAAATACATATCTGTTTATCACCTCTACCTTCTCAATTTGCATCTCACCACTATCACTCCTTAATACACTAATCAATGCATTTGTACCTTGGTTTTCTTGACTTTTTCTACAACAATTTCTTAAAATTTATTGACTAAGTCTCACCCAGTTTTCATCTGCTCTTCTTTTCATGCCATTTTCACTGTTTTCCAGCCTCTTCATCCCTTTTCCCATAAATTATATTCCTCTTATAGTCCACATTATAAAAATTTGCATTGTAAAAACCTTTCATATTTCAAGTTTTCCACAACCATTTTCACCTCATAATTACATAAACATTTCTCATTCCTTCTACACTTATCTTCCTTTAACCACAAACTTTTTCTAAACACTGATATCATTGTAATTGTATTTCACCTTCCTCTTACAATCACTAAATAACCAAACATTTCACTACTCAAGAAATATGTACACCCAAAGTCTACACATCAATCATTTAATCACTAGTACATAGACCAGGACTAGTGTAGAGCCACCACCTGAGACAACACGTAAAAAAACTAGAGGAAGTCCCGAGATTCTCTACCAGACTAATCTCCAAAATGAGAGGAATGATATACAAACAAGGCTTAAGGACCTAAATCTTACAACAAATGAAGATACAAGAACAACGAAAGATATGATTACAATAAACATACTCAACAATGCAGATAGGGACAAACTGTTAGAGAGGAGAGGACCAGTGTCAAGGGGCACAGATGGAAGCTAAAGATACAAATGAGTCTTGGGAATGTTTTATAATACTGTAGTTCTTTAATGTGAAGGTGGCTAGGAAGTGGAAAGATCATGATATTGAAATAGAAGAAGTAAAGGCCACATAAGCTTTAAGAGTAGGTAAAATAGGGCCCATGAGGCCAGGAAAAAGAGAGTAACCATTCACGAGTAGTCGAGAGGCAGTGCCAAGAGCACAGACTACTCCCACAGCCTCAAATAGAAGAGTCCTGCTTCAACAAACATTTCCCCACACATTATACACTTGCTCATCACCATCTTGAAACATGAACTGCCTATTACTGAATTTCTTTCTAAACATAATTAAACTCCTATTGCTATTTACAGTAAATTAGGTGCATTGATAGCTAAATTTTACAATCTCCCATAATTTTAGTTAGTTTAATATGTTTATTATGCACCCCATACCCATCCTGTGGGTTACAGAGGTTACAGAGGTTACAGAGGTACATAATTGGTCCAGGGACTGGACTCCAAAGTTTTGATAGCTGAGCAAGTTACAGAGGTAATGAATTCACAATTTACAAAGGTAATGAACTCACAATTTACAAAGGTAATGAACTCCAGGTAGGTCTAGTAGGTCTATTTTACATTTGTCAAAGAGGGTAGACAGTTTTGGTAGAGGAATAATTAATAGGATGACTGTGATCTCTAACATGACAAAAACGAGCATTATTAGTGTCAGCAAGACAAACACTTTTTCTGTGCTATATAAATCTGTCAGAAAGAGACCAACCAGTTTCACCACAAAGAACAGATTTCACAGAAGGGAGTTTGAGAGAGAAGGAAGTGCATTTAGTATGAGAGAAGGCAGAGTTTATGAAATTAGAAGGATAGCTAAGGTGAGAGAATGAGCTGCAACGAATGGAAATTTCTGAGTTAAGAAATTAAGGGTAACAGATACGGAGGGCACGGAGAAAAGAAACAAGAACACTTTTCTTGAAAAAGGAATCATGAAAAGAAAAGTGGTGAAGGTACATGCCACTGTGCACTTGTTTGCTATAAATGGAAAAAGAAAAGCCCATTGCTGAGCGATGGATATTCACATCAAGGAGAGAAAACAAAGAAAAGAGTTAGATTCCTAGTCAACTTTGAACTTGATGGAAGGAGCAAGATTGTTAAGGGAATTGAGAAAAGGTTAATAAATAAATAAATGTTTATTTTCTTGTAAAGCTTACACCTTGAAGACACTAGAGTCATGTGGCCAAAAAGCAAAGACCTGACCCGCCCATTATTTGTGGTGCTCTCATTCCTGCCCTTGATAGCCTGTTTTTTTTAAGAATTACCACCTTCCTTGTCGCTATCAATTTACCCTTACTTCTCTTTTGTCTGCTACTACAAACATCATTATTGTTCCTTCTGACAAAGGCAATTTGGTGGTTGTCCTTGATTGTGAGGATTACCTTAGAGAGGCTGAACCCTTGCTCTCTGACTACTTTCCATCCTTCTTGATCACATCAAGAGAACTTTTAACCAGAAACTTTGAATGCTCTAATCTCTGTTCTCCTGGCTTTGATCTTGTTCAACATATCTGTGTTATCTGTCCATTTTTACCTTATTTCTATGGACTTTCTAAAAGTCATAAACTTAGTATCTCTTTATGTCTCATCATTTTCTCTACAAATTCTGTCCTTTATCTTCTTGCCTCTTGACTAGCTAAAACTCTCACTCCTTTTCTTGTTTCCTTTTCTCCTGCTCACTTGCTGATACTTACAATGCTCTTTTCTGTCATATTAGAGATTCACAGTCTTTTGCCAAAACTGCCTGCCCTTCTTCTAGTCTTTATAGATGCCATCTTGTTGAAGTATCTCTTACACACATTACTTGCCAAATTTATTTTATGAAACAGCTCTTACCTCAGTGGCCTCCGAGAAAATGTTGGCTAGAATGAAGGCTCTATACCACATACCATCTGTCCATCGAGCTGCCCAGCAAGATGCTACTGGCAGTTCAAGTACATTTAATTGTTCATCATCATCCTTATATATTTCCATCATTGTTTCACAAAACCTGAAGATGACAATGATATTTTTTTATGAGTATTAGACCTATATGAGATATTAAATTCTGCTAATTTGAAAGTAACTGTGTGTGGGGGGAGGGGGGGGCGTGTGTGTTACACTTCACCTTTAGGACATTTTCAGACCATTTAGCACTTAACCCTTTCACTGTCCAGACCCCCAAAATGAAACTCGCTCTCATCGTCCAAAAAATCCTAACAAAAAAAAAATCATCTGAATTGGTAGAGAATCTTTTTCAGGCAGTAATGAGACCTAAAGTATGAAATATGATGGAAAAGTTAAGAAACTACACAGATGCAAAGTCAGCAGTCTTGGTACAATTTGTGCACTGCAATTTGACCCATTTCAAGTTATTTTAGGACAATTCCATTGTCCCAGTTGACCAAATTCTTAGCTACTTCACTAGTATGCTTTCTATTCTATCGACTGAGCCAAGAAACATGCCCATTGAACTATTTCAACTATCCTATAAAGTGATCAGAATCCAATAATTTGGTCAATTTCACACAAAATAAAAAAAATACCAGTTTAAAAATATTCCATAATAAACAATGTCAACATTCCTGGCACAAAACCAATATCTCCTCTGTTCATTAGTCATGTCCCCAGGCCTTTCCTATATAACACATGGTTTCCATTTTGAATTCTAATTCACACAAAAATAAAAGATTTACTCTATTCCTCAGATAATAAAATATAACCAGAACAGATTGTTCATGGTTTGCAGCATTCCTGTAATTTAATCAGAAGTATTAAAAGTTATTAAAAATTATGGGGAATCAAATACAAAATGGGAATTGACACAGTTACTTGTTGCTGATGATACTGTGCTTATGGGAGATTCTAAAGAAAAATTGCAAAGGTTAGTAGACGAGTTTGGGAGTGTGTGTAAAGGTAGAAAGTTGAAAGTGAACATAGAAAAGAGCAAGGTGATGAGGGTATCAAATGATTTAGATAAAGAAAAATTGGATATCATTTGGGGAGGAGGAGTATGGAAGAAGTGAATGTTTTCAGATATTTGGGAGTTGACGTGTCAGCAGATGGATTTATGAAGGATGAGGTTAATCACAGAATTGATGAAGAAAAAAAGGTGAGTGGTGCGTTGAGGTATATGTGGAGACAAAAAACGTTATCTATGGAGGCAAAGAAGGGAATGTATGAAAGTATAGTAGTACCAACACTCTTATATGGGTGTGAAGCGTGGGTTGTAAATGCTGCAGCGAGGAGGCGGTTGAAGGCAGTGGAGATGTCCTGTCTAAGGGCAATGTGTGGTGTGAATATTATGCAGAAAATTCGGAGTGTGGAAATTAGGAGAAGGTGTGGAGTTACTAAAAGTATTAGTCAGAGGACTGAAGAGGGGTTGCTGAGGTGGTCTGGTTATTTAGAGAGAATGGGTCAAAGTAGAATGACATGGAGAGCGTATAAATCCTTAGGGGAAGGAAGGCGGGGTAGGGGTCGTCCTCGTAAAGGTTGGAGGGAGGGGGTAAAGAAGGTTTTGTGGGTGAGGGGTTTGGACTTCCAGCAAGCTTGCGTGAGCATGTTAGATAGGAGTGAATGGAGATGAATGGTATTTGGGACCTGATGAGCTGTTGAAGTGTGAGCAGGGTAATATTTAGTGAAGGGATTCAGGGAAACTGGTTATTTTTATATAGCCGGACTTGAGTACTGGAAATGGAAAGTACAATGCCTGCACTTTAAAGGAGGGGTTTGGGATATTGGCAGTTTGGAGGGATATGTTGTCTCTTTATACTTATATGCTTCTAAGCTGTTGTATTCTAGGCACCTCTGCAAAAACTGATTATGTGTGAGTGAGGTGAAAGTGTTGAATGATGATGAAAGTATTTTCTTTTTGGGGATTTTCTTTCTTTTTGGGGTTACCCTGCCTCAGTGGGAGACGGCCGACTTGTTGAAAAAAAAAAAGTATTAAAAACCCTTAAAATAGACTGGGAGTTGTAGATGGGCCTTTCCTGTCCTTTGGAATATCAGCAAAAATTGAATATTTGCACTACTTTGAGCTCAATTTCAAAATCATGTCTATTTCAGTAGTATGTCTTTTATTCTATCAAATAATACCAAGAAACCATAAAAACTATCCTAGAAATAATGCCAAGAAACCATAAAAACTATCCTAGAAAACATCTCAAATTCACTATCATAAACCAAACACAAGGTCAGTTTTGCTTTTCCCATCATGCGCCATGTTGGGCAGCATTATTTTTATACTCTGCACACTCATTACACAGACCCATTCTTTCATATCTAGGCCAAAATTTACTGCCCTTTTTATCAGTGTGAGCTAAGCTCAAGATGCAGATCTACATAAGGAACACTGGCATCAATAATGTATGGAGAGTGAAAGTGTTAATACCAAAAACAAGCTACACTCCCTTATAATTGATAACAGCTTCAATTAATAACAATTTTACGATGTTTCAAGTTTGAAGTGCACATGAAAAAAAACTGTTAAGACATCAGAAAGAAATTACCAGTCCAATGATGCAGTTTCACTGTTGACAAGATGCAGGTAGAAATGATTAGGAGAATTGACATGTGAGATCATGGCAGCTTCTGGTGCACCATTCAAAGGAACCTGGGGTGATGGAAGGATCACACAGGGAAGTGCACCTAATGGCACAATCTCATTGCTCTTATTTTGACTTTCTGTAAAAGCAAGATTTTTAATTAATTGTGAGAAAAATAAAAAAAATATAGAGTCTGACAAACATTTAAAAAATGTGAAACTTTAAAATTAGAATATGACCCAGTCTCCCACCAATGTTTCTTTTACTGACTACACACACACTGCAGCATAACTTTATACTTTGATACATATATCCCTAATCTACATTGGATTTCATCAGAAGGGTTCCTCATTCTCCACATAAGTTCAGAATATTTCCACAAATACACTAAACACCAAAAAGAAGAGCTGATTAAAGGGATAATTATAAACATCCTAAGATGGAACATCAAATTCTCACAGATGATCATGTTACCACTTTAACCATCTTCAACAATAATTTTCAAAAGCAAGAGAAGAATATGGTAGTGCTTTTATTTCATATACAAGTTATTAATCTGTTCAGGTGTCATGCCACATTTTGACATGCAAGACATTATTGATCCATGCTTTTTTAAAGTTTATATCTAGCTGTTGGAGTGTGAGCAGGGTAATACTTTGTGAAGCAATTCAGGGAAACTGGTTAGCCGGACTTCAGTCCTAGAAATGGGAAGTACAATGCCTGCACTTTAAAGGAGAGGTTTTTGATATTGGCAGTTTGGAGGTTTGGAGCACCTCTGAAAAGACAGTGATTATGTATGAGTGAGGTGAAAGTGTTGAATGATGATGAAAGTATTTTCTTTTTGGGGATTTTCTTTCTTTTTGGGTCACCCTGCCTCGGTGGGAGACGACCGACGTGTTGAAAAAAAAAATCTAGCTCCACAGCTAGATGATGAATAATGTGAATGATGGTGAAAATATTTCTTTATTGCATCACCCTGCCTCAATAGGAGACAGCCAGCATGTTAAAAAAAAAAATTTAGCTTGACATGATTTCTACAGTATTATAATGGGAAAGTACTAAGGCTACATGTAGAGGTCCTACAGTATCTGAGGGATGGGAGACAATCAGTTTCAATCCAAAAAAGAAGAGAACAGGTGCAATTCACTGGATCAAGAGCCCCTCACCAGCCTCAAGACCCTTGAAGGGTCTGCAACTCATTAAGACATAGGTGTAAGAATCGTTGAAACTTTTCCAGAATAAGCTTTGACATTGTGGTAAAATGTTCATACAACTAGAACAAACATACAAATCATAAAATTTTGTATCAATTGATGGTGACTGATTCAATAAAAATTATTAGAAAAGTAAGATGTTTGCAGTTCAACATGACATAAATTGTGGAGTGGACATGCATAAGTATTTTTAACATTTTATATGCATTTACAAGTGTGAGGTCTCACCACTGAAGAATGGCATCAACTACAATGCCTTATCAATCATGGTTACTAGAAGAAAAAATGAACATTACTATATTTAAAAATTGCATGAAAATATTTAAGTGGTTAACTAGGATTATTATAATTATATCAAGGGGGAAGTGCTAAACCCGTAGGATTATACAGCACCTGTGAGGGGGGATGTGGAGGGTATTCAGGCTTAATTCAGGGAACTGGAGCACAGATCCAGTTCCCTAGATCAAGAGCCCCTCACCAGCATCAAGAAACTTTCCTTGAGGGGGTTAACTAGGATTTTGTTAACATGCATTCAGTCTTTTCTGTGCACTATATGAGTACTATTGCATTTTCATGTTAACAGTGATTTTTCACTAAAGTATTACAACATCTCTGCTAACTAAGGACTGTAGTGTCTACATACAGTACTGCATTTTTTTCATGAGCACATCAGCAGTTTTCCCAAGAAAAGATGACCCAAATAAAATGCACTCACCAGCACATATTCTTCATCTGTCTTTTTAAAAATGCCCAGCCATCACATATGAGATGATACTTGAACAGAAACATCCTCACACAGTGCTGTATATAATTTTTTTATGAAATTATTAATTAAATATCATTATCAATACTGAATTTGATCTTTAATTAATCCCTAGCCTAGATTTACTTAACATACTAAGTAATATAGCCTTTAAAAAAAGCAGTTGCTATAATTACATTTAAAATAAATGTCATACCATGTATGTACTGCATTTGGTATATAAAAAATTCTTACAAATTATCATTATTATTATTGGAGAAGAATCCTCCCTCTGCAAGCCATGCTTCTTGTAAGAGGCGACTGAAATGCTGGAAGCAAGGGGCTAGTAACCCCTTCCCCTGTATAAATTACTAAATGTGAAAAAACTTAGTTTCTTCCTGTTCAGTTCTCCTGCATTGGTGGGGTGTGGCTGGTTTGTTGAAAAAATATACATCTTTCTTTCTTTCAACACACCGGCCGTATCCTACCGAGGCGGGGTGGTCCAAAAAGAAAAACAAAAGTTTCTCCTTTTACATTTAGTAATATATACAGGAGAAGAGGTTACTAGCCCCTTGCTCCCGGCATTTTAGTCGCCTCTTACAAAACGCATGGCTTACGGAGGAAGAATTCTGTTCCACTTCCCCATGGAGATAAGAGGAAATAAACAAGAATAAGAACTAGAAAGAAAATAGAAGAAAACCCAGAGGGGTGTGTATATATGTGCTTGTACATGTATGTGTAGTGTGACCTAAGTGTAAGTAGAAGTAGCAAGATGTACCTGAAATCTTGCATGTTCATGAGACAGAAAAAAGGACACCAGCAATCCTACCATCATGTAAAACAATTACAGGCTTTCGTTTTACACTCACTTGGCAGGACGGTAGTACCTCCCTGGGCGGTTGCTGTCTACCAACCTACTACCTAGGAAAAATATACATATTATTCTTCTTCTTTCTTTCAACACACCGGCCGTATCCCACCGAGGCGGGGTGGCCCAAAAGGAAAAACGAAAGTTTCTCCTTTTACATTTAGTAATATATACAGGAGAAGAGGTTACTAGCCCCTTGCTCCCGGCATTTTAGTCGCCTCTTACAACACGCATGGCTTACGGAGGAAGAATTCTGTTCCACTTCCCCATGGAGATAAGAGGAAATAAACAAGAATAAGAACTAGAAAGAAAATAGAAGAAAACCCAGAGGGGCGTGTATATATGTGCTTGTACATGTATGTGTAGTGTGACCTAAGTGTAAGTAGAAGTAGCAAGACGTACCTGAAATCTTGCATGTTCATGAGACAGAAAAAAGGACACCAGCAATCCTACCATCATGTAAAACAATTACAGGCTTTCGTTTTACACTCACTTGGCAGGACGGTAGTACCTCCCTGGGCGGTTGCTGTCTACCAACCTACTACCTAGGAAAAATATACATATTATTATTATTACCTATAAATGTGCTACTTGTAAGATGTGAGTCATCAACCTGATTAGCAGTAGTTTGAACTGATGATTCCTTAGGCAGAGAGTGAATAACACTGTTCTCATTGTTAAAAGGCACCAACTGACAGCAATGTGTTTCTGCATCTCTCTCTCTTATTTTCAGTTCTAAATCTTGTGAGGTTCTGTTCAGCTCTCCAGGAGTCTCAACTCTGTTTTCAAATTTCTGCCATTTAGCCAGTGAACCCTCATCAGACTTGCAAATGCTTTCCAAATCACACAGATCTGAAATGAGACTGAGAATAAATACATTATATTGAACAAGAAAAAATATACTGAATTAATCTCTGAAATGGTAATGGCAATGGAAATGGCAACCAGATTATTGTATATGTTATAAAATAAATTTCAAATAAATATTTGTATTTGTGTTTCCATAAAAATTAAAACAATTACTTGAGAACTACATACTTAAAAAATAATATATCAAAATCCCAAGATATTAATATGTAATAGAGGAAAACCAACAAAGTGTACACATTTACCCCATTTAGGAAAATTCACTATTATGCAATGTCCCATTTTTGCAGTACAGTCATACCCTGCCCGAGGTCATTAATTGGTTCCAAGAGCCATGATGTAACACGGTTTTTAATGTAAACTGGACATAATGCCTTAAAAATGCCTTAAAATGATGACAAACACCATAAAACTAGCATAAATAACTCGCAAAAAAATATGACTATTGCTAAACCTAAGCACTTAAAACATATTTAAGCCATATTTTTAAAAGAATAATGAACACAATTAAAAAAATATGCTATTTACCTTGTGATATACCCTTAAAAATGTCTTAAGTATGACAAAAAAACACAATTAGCATAAACAACACACGAGAGAATATAACTGTCATTAAAGCATTAAAGAATGACATTTAATCATATTGAACTCATCATCCATCGTAACCACGTTACACTTCGAATCATTAGCACTATCCTTCTTAGGACCCATGGCTAACAAAGACACAGTAAAGGAATATCACAAAAATAACAGTGAAAAGCAAAGCAGGCACACGATTGCAGCATGGGCAAAAATGCATATGGCATCACCCCTGCAGCAACACCGCCACACAGCAAGATGGCGGAACTACATGACAGACATTTTGTATACAATTTCTCAATGGAAATATTTTATTGTATATGTTTACATTTTATTATTTTTTCATGTGCTTTTATTGTACGTGCTTTAATTTTTTTAGCTTCTTGTATCTTTTATTGTTAATTTTTACGCATTGTATTTTTAAATATATTTTTAAAGAAAATTTAATTATTTCATGTCCTTTTATTATGACGTAGGTAAAGTTGCTGAGTGATGTAACATGAGACGTAATGACATTTGCTGAACTTTTATTTACTCTAGAAAAATGGCATAAAGGCAAATTTGACATAAGCCGAAATGACGTAAGGCAGGGTATGATTGTGTTTGTATTTACCTAAACAACAAAAAAAGGCACAATACCGTGACTGGAACAATACACAAATAACCCGCACAGAGAAGAGAGGAGCTTACGACGACGTTTCAGTCCGACTTGGACCATTTACAAAGTCACACTAACCAGAAGTGGAGCAGGATGGCTATATATAGGCAGGAAGAGGTAGTGGTGGTGGTAGTAGTAGTAGTAGTAGTGGTGGTGGTGGTGGTGGTAGTAGTGGTAGTGGTAGTAGTAGTGGTAGTGGTAGTAGTGGGGAATTAAGGAGGAGGAGCCAGTCAAATACAAAGAAAGGGGAGCACTGCAAGGGAGCTAGGTGCCCACAGAGGGAGAGCAAGTGCACAGAGGTGGGGGGAAGGCAAAGTGATGAAATAAATAATGAAGGAACAGAAACACACGACAGAAGAGAGAAAGACAAAAAAAGGAAAGAGGAAAGGGGAAGAGGGAGAAGAAGAAAAAATGAGGAATCAGGTTAAATCACGGGTGTTCTGAAGTTTGGAGCATTTTACAATGTAGTGGGAGAGGAATGCATCTACAGAGACAAAGCCAGGACTAAGATTCATACATACAAGTTGTGTATTAGAGAGGATTCAACTAGACGGCAACTGTTAGAGTTGGAAGTAGGGAAAACAGTTTTAGTGGAAGACCAGTCAATAGGATGGCTGTGATCTCTGACATGACAGAACAGAGCATTGTTAGTGTCGGCAAGCCTAACACTTTTTTTGTGCTCCCTAATTCTGTCAGAAAGAGATCAGCCAGTTTCTCCAAAGTATTGAAGAGGACAGAAGGAGCAAGAAATAGAGTAGACACCAGGAACATCTGTAGAGGGAGGAGAGGTATGAACGAGATTAGTGCGAAGTGTTAGTCTGGTGGAAAGTAAGCTTGATGCCTAAGGGACGGAGAGAATTGTTGAGATTAGAAAGACCAGAAATGTAGGGAAGGCAGAGGACAGAAGAGTTCCCAGGAGTAGAGAGTTTGGGAGAGAAGAAATTACATTTAGCACGTGAGAAGGCAGAGTCTATGAAATGGGAAGGGTAGCCAAGACGGGAAAACGAATTATGAAGAGTGGAAATTTCTGCTGGAAGGAACTGAGGATCACAGATGCAGAGGGCATGGAGAAAGAGGGAGATAAGAACACTTTTCTTGACAGGGGAAGCATAATAGGAAAAGTAGTGAATGTACATGCCGCTGTGCTTAGGTTTTCGGTAAACGGAAAAGGAAAAACCTGTATCTGAGCGGTGGACATGGACATGATATATGACTCACAAAATCATAACAGACACAACTGTAAACAGGCAAAGTGTACTATCACCATACACCAGGTTCATATGGTACAGTGGATAATGCACTAGCCTGCTAGTTTTACAATTGGCTAGCCATGGATTTGTGATATGCAATCTTTGCAATGGCAAATGTATGAAACATACCAAAGATTCTCATTATGTGGTGTAAAGAGTTGATGACCTGACAGCCATCAACTCTTTACTCCACATACTCCATCTACTGAAGAAAGCAAGTGATACCTGTATATTGAAAAAATGAAAATCTCTATTTCTTTAAAAATATACAGAAACATTACAACAGATGAGTTGCAGTTCATGTGGTTAGTTTTCACATAATTATGAAAGATACAATATGATACAATTACTACTATACAGGTACCATCCGACTTACAAACAACCGAGTTCGGTTCCAACAAACCGGTTGTAAGTCGAAATGGACGTAACTCAAACCTTACTACTGAATATCAACATCACATTTTTGTAATGACTTTATTTTATTGTTTTATTTTGGTATTTCATTTTTTACTTTACTTTTTATGCTGTTAGTACTGTATTTTATACTGTAAGGTTTAGAATAAACACTGTGTACAACACAAACACTTGTTTATTTCCCAGAAATTTGGCATAGAAAACAAGGTCATAAGTCGAATGGTCGTATGTCGAGCAGGTCGTAAGTCGGATGGTAAGTGTATTTTCAAAAGAAAATCACTGATGCAGAGCATTTACCTGGAGTTTACCTGGAGAGAGTTCCGGGGGTCAACACCCCCGCGGCCCGGTCTGTGACCAGGCCTCCTGGTGGATCAGAGCCTGATCAACCAGGCTGTTGCTGCTGTCTGCACGCAAACCAACGTACGAGCCACAGCCCGGCTGATCAGGAACTGACTTTAGGTGCTTGTCCAGTGCCAGCTTGAAGACTGCCAGGGGTCTGTTGGTAATCCCCCTTATGTGTGCTGGGAGGCAGTTAAACAGTCTCGGGCCCCTGACACTTATTGTATGGTCTCTTAACGTGCTAATGACACCCCTGCTTTTCATTGGGGGGATGGTGCATCGTCTGCCAAGTATTTTGCTTTCGTAGTGAGTGATTTTCGTGTGCAAGTTCGGTACTAGTCCCTCTAGGATTTTCCAGGTGTATATAATCATGTATCTCTCCCTCCTGCATTCCAGGGAATACAGGTTTAGGAACCTCAAGCGCTCCCAATAATCGAGGTGTTTTATCTCCGTTATGCGCGCCGTGAAAGTTCTCTGTACATTTTCTAGGTCGGCAATTTCACCTGCCTTGAAAGGTGCTGTTAGTGTGCAGCAATATTCCAGCCTAGATAGAACAAGTGACCTGAAGAGTGTCATCATGGGCTTGGCCTCCCTAGTTTTGAAGGTTCTCATTATCCATCCTGTCATTTTTCTAGCAGATTCGATTGATACAATGTTATGGTCCTTGAAGGTGAGATCCTCCGACATGATCACTCCCAGGTCTTTGACGTTGGTGTTTCGCTCTATTTTGTGGCCAGAATTTGTTTTGTACTCTGATGAAGATTTAATTTCCTCATGTTTACCATATCTGAGTAATTGAAATTTCTCATCGTTGAACTTCATATTGTTTTCTGCAGCCCACCCATTTCAGGCAAATTAATCCTAAAACTTACATACTGGAAGACTGACTTGTCATCTTACATGTTTTAAGGCTAAAAACAAGAGCAGCAATTCTGTCAGAGTGCAAACACATTCAACAAATTTTCTTCTTACACTCATATGACAGTACAATAGCACCTCACTAGGTTGTCATATGACAAGACAATAGTACCTCCCCGGATCGTCAAATGACAGGACAACAGTACCTCCCTGGGTTGTCAAATGACAGGACAATAGTACCTCCCTGGGTCGTCATATGACAGGACAATAGTACCTCCCTGGGCCGTCATATGACAGGCCAATAGTACCTCCCTGGGTCGTCAAATGACAGGACAATACTACCTCCCTGGGTCGTCATATGACAGGATAGTAGTACCTCCTTGGGTCATCATATAACAGGACAGTAGTACATACCTCCCTGGGTCGTCATATGACACGATAGTAGTACCTCCCTGGGTCATCATATGACAGGATAGTAGTACCTCCATGGGTTATCACATGACAGGACAGTAATATCTCTCTGGGTCATCATATGACAAGACCGTAGTACCTCCCTGGGTCATCACTGTCTGTCAACCTACTGTACATAGATCCTGCCACTTCCTTGCCAGGTGATGCAGCTTTCAAAATGGCCACTTTCGTTTTTTTAAGTTTAATGGATTTCAAAGACCTAAGGTACCGGGTGTTTCATTTAATACATACATCTCTCTTACTAAATTTAAAATTAACAACATTTTTTTTTTTTCAACAAACCGGCCGTATCCCACCAAGGCAGGGTGGCCCAAAAAGAAAAACGAAAGTTTCTCTATTTAAATTTAGTAATTTATACAGGAGAAGGGGTTACTAGCCCCTTGCTCCCGGCATTTTAGTCGCCTCTTACAACACGCATGGCTTACGGATGAAGAATTCTGTTCCACTTCCCCATGGAGATAAGAGGAAATAAACAAGAACAAGAACTAGAAAGAAAATAGAAGAAAACCCAGAGGGGTGTGTATATATGTGCTTGTACATGTATGTGTAGTGTGACCTAAGTGTAAGTAGAAGTAGCAAGACGTACCTAAAATCTTGCATGTTTATGAGACAGAAAAAAAGGACACCAGCAATCCTACCATCATGTAAAACAATTACAGGCTTTCATTTTACACTCACTTGGCAGGACAGTAGTATCTCCTTGGGCAGTTGCTGTCTACCAACCTACTACCTAGAAAATTTTAACAACATAAAACCATTATAGTAATGCTCAAAAAAAAAAAATACAAACATTATGCTGTAATGAGCATTATATGTGGCTTAACATCTTGTCATTTACTAATAATTTACTACTGTTTTGCCAACATTTTAAAGTGATTTTACTAACATTTAAGATTTTACATCTAATGACAGTGTACCAATTTTCTAAAGAGAGCTTAATGCTCTAAAAAAAACGTTTATAACACCTACAGAGTTTACCATCTAAAGAAAATTTACTACATCTAAAAAGAATTTATCACATCTAAAGAGAATTTACCACATCTAAAGAGAATTTATTACATTTAAAGAAAATTTATTACATCTAATGATAATTTATTACATCTAAACAAATTTTAATGGATTACTGAGTATCTATGTGAGGGCAGCTGAGAAAGCATCATGCTACTGATATACAGATGTAGTAAAGATTTTCTAAAATAAATTTTGAAGTTCTTGGTCTAATTCAGAAATCATTTCAAATTCTAAATGTTTTCTCAACAAGGTATTCATCTCTGCCAATGTACACAGACTTATCACAATTTCTTACTTATTACTCCCAGCACTTCCTATTGCAACATTCCTACGAGTCTGAAGCATGGTAGAAGCATATAAATACAAACCAAATGTACAGCTTTTAATGTATTCTCTAAGCATCAGTTGTATAGACTTATGGATGTCAAGCAATTTTTGAAACTGGCTCTTCACTTGTGGAACCTTTTGTTGAAATTTATGATGAGGTAAAAATTTTGCATTACAGGCAGCATCAGATATCTGCAAATAATAAATATAAAAGAGTTCAGAACGTATTTTCCAGCAGAATATATACACAGCAGATTATTATTTATCCCATAAGACATGAACATAGATTAAGATCAAGATAGTCAAAGCTGTTTCTATAGTCCTGTCCCTCTCCCATAAAAACTCATTTACACAATACAAGTTAAAAGCCCTACTTCTACCTCAGATCATTTCAAAGTCGGGGCCTATCCACAGAATACCTGTATCAGTAACATGCCCGTAACTGGGAAATAAAATGATCTGAGCTTATCTATCTTAATGTGCATGTATATCCGGACAGAAAAGCGAGTACATACTCTATATAGCAAAGCAGCAAGGTGAAACAGAAGGTGACAAAAAGATGAAATCATTAGGTTTAAATTAAAAAGGTAGTTTAATGAGGTACACATAAAATGATTCCATAAATTAAGCGATAGGAGTATTGCTGGATCTGCTATTACTTTTGAGATGTAGGAACTTCTACTGCCTTGGAAAAGATCCTCAAATCAGTGCCTGACCAACTGGGCTGTGGTTTATATGTTGGACTGCATGCAGCCACCAAACAGCCTGGTTGATCATGCCTTGATCCTCCAGGCAGCCTGGTCTGGGACCAGGCCATGGGGGCATTGATGCCCAGAGGCATCCCTAGTGTATCCTACAGGTAGACACCTCCTCTTATGGATCTCAGTTTTTTATAACTTCAGTAAATTTGGGCCATTCAATAGTACGTATTGAATAAGTATGAAATCCAACAACATTCAGCATTTATCAACAATGAGAGGGAGGAACTTTAGAAGCATGACTCATTTTTTACATTACTATACGTATTTTAAATCCTTATAGTACATACACAACTTTTAAATGATTACAGTAGAAATCCCATATACGCTGATTCAGTATCCACAGTTCCAGTTATCCACGGTTTACTATGGCCCAAAAATACCTCTTAATTTTGCATAATAATGGCCCAAAGTGCAAAAGTAGAGAAACTAGCAGTTCTTCAAAGCCTAAGAGAAGCCGTGAAGTGCTTCTTATCAGTGAAAAAGTGATAATTCTCCACTTATTGTGCATAATTTATCAATTATACTTTATAACAGGTATGTATAGGACTTATACATAGGGTTTGCTACTACACACGGTTTCAGTATCCATGGCAGGTCTTTGGAACATATCCCTCGTGGATATGGGAGTCGTATTGTATATACAGTGGACCCCCGCTTAACGATCACCTCCCAATGCGACCAATTATGTAAGTGTATTTAAGTAAGAGCGTTTGTACGTGTATGTTTGGGGGTCTGAAATGGACTAATCTACTTCACAATATTCCTTATGGGAACAAATTCGGTCAGTACTGGCACCTGAACATACTTCTGGAATGAAAAAATATCGTTAACCGGGGGTCCACTGTATAATCAAAAAATTTTTTTTTAAAAGCTCAGCAGTATTCCTAATTATAATTCTGCACATAAAAGAAAAGGATACATCACATTTTTTATAACTCTCCAACTCTTCCTTTCATTTCCACCTTCATTAAGCCTCAATAGAGCTCAAGAACCTGCAGTCTTGAAAATCATGTGCAAAATCCAAGAGATGGCAGCTGAGCTGAAATATGTAGTTATGTATGTCTTCAACCCGTAAACGGTCCAAGCAGATCTACGTTCACGTGTGTAGTGCTACAAAAGTAGATCTAAGTTTTTTTTTTACATATTTTCAAATATAACAAAAAAAAAGTAGATCAAAGTTTCTTTACACATTTTCAAATGTAGAAAAACAAAAAGAAGATTACTTTTTTACATACTTTCAAATGTTGAAAAAACGTATATATACGTTTGGACCGTTTACAGGTTAAAGAACAAAAGGACACAATACTGTGATTGGAACAATACACAAATAACCCACACATAGGAGAAAGATGCTTTTGGCAACAATTCAGTCAGACTTGGACCATTGACTAGTCTTTACTGATGGCATGAGGAAGAGTTTAAATAATATGCATCCTTTCAACACATAATTTTAAAGAGAGACAAGTATGCTTAAGTACACTTATCTCTCAGCACTTCTTCTTACATGCCAGCACAAATGTGTGACAATTATAACCTCAAGACAATCCAGTAATTTTCTGCACTGTAGTGTTAGTTATATATACTGTACTTGCACAATATATGCTCTTTTTTTGCTCTCATTTGATTTCTAGGTTGGTTCCCAATAACTCACGTCACTCTGGAAAGAGAGTTTGCAGCACAAGTCTCTATCCTGATGATATTTTGCTGTGTTGAGCTTCATTAAGTCATGAAGCTCAAGATTGAGAAAATATCATCACAATAAAAACCCACTCTGAAAACTCTCTCTTTCCATACTCATCGGAAACATTTGAGTCTAACTCGTTTTGCCATAAAAAATTAAGGCATTCTTCAGAGTACCTTTTTAATTACTTTTCTAATAAGTAGAAACCATAAGATTTCCATTACCAACACAACTGTTCCTGAAAAAATTATTGTATTAAATATTGAAACATTAAAGCATTAAAATAAAAAAATTTATTTATAATTGTGGATATAAAATTACATTACTATACAGTAGTTCTATCAATGAATTGTAATGAAATATAACCAAGGGTACACATTTGTGATGAATGTTTTAGGGGTACACATTACCTGGAGTATACCTGGAGGGAGTTTCAGGGGTCAACACCCCTGCGGGCCAGTCCATGACTAGGCTTTGTGGTGAATGAGGGCCTGATCAACTAGGCTGTTACTGCTGGCCACACATAAACCGACATACAAGCCACAGCCTGGATGGTCAGGTACTGACTTGAATGACGAATGTTATATATGTGGACAGTTGTTAATTAAAGCAACACCCGAGGCTGACAGTTATGATCAGTTGCTCTTCTGTACTTAATTTTAGCAGATATCTCGCCTTTCAAAATGCATATTATAAGCAACACAAAAAAACTCAGAACTTTTCAGATGCCCAAGGATTCTAACCTAAGACTTTAGCATTCCATACAAAAAAATTTAGAACTTACCATGGCAACCAACTCGTCAAATTGTAGTTTAGTTTTTCTGGTTGTCAGCTGAATCATGTTCACTAAATGCAGTAGATGACATTCTTCTTGTTTCCTTTCACTAGCAGCCATGATGGTACAACTGTATTATGCTATAAAAAAAAGAAAACAATGATTTATGGTCATAGTTATTAAAAAGAAACTAGCCACCAAAAATTAATGGTAGCAAAAAAACATGCTAAAAGTAGTATTTGAGGCTTTCCTATGATGTATTGGATACCTGCAATTGTATTTTATCTCCTCATGGTTGAATCTTCTTTCTATTATGCCCAATCCATTCAAAGATTTTTCGTTTCCAATCCTGTACATACAATCTCTTAGAATTAGACAGTTGTAAAAATAAAATTATCAGTTAAAATGGATACAAGAGAAGTGAATATGCTATTAGTACTTTCTATATTGCTTTTATCAAGTTTAATTGTAAGTTTATTGAGTTACAGGTACACAAACTATATAGAAAAACATGTGTAAATTACCTGGGATAGCAAAAATAATCAGTGACTTCAGAATAAAGAATAAAGATTTTATTTCTTTGAAAAGGTTAGAATGTGTAATTACAATTTTGATTTGTTAAGTGTACAAAGAAAGCCACTATTATGCCGGGGTATTTTTCCATGGTTGTCTAATCTACATGAAACTATAGTCAATATGGTTGTTTAAGTATTATTATTATATTATTATGACTATATAAGGTAGACCTGCGAGCCTGAGTGGGTAGGTAGTTCCAAAATCAAAATAGGGGAATTATTTACAGATAAGGTTACCAACACTAGTCGAAACTCGGGTATTAGTTGATAAAGACTTTGTCCAGATTATTAATCAATGAGAGTTGGAATAAAGACAATGGTGTCAAACCCGGAGGGTTAATAACCCAACAAAGCCCGTGCATCATCTGCCTCTGCATTATTTTCATTAATTCGGTTATAAAGAAATTTAAAGTACTATTTTCCCTATTATCTCTCAAAGTTCAACTTTCCAAAAGAAATACTTACTTATTCCGTGATATACATAGGTTGCATGTATAGTAAAATGTAAACTAATGACCCAAAATACTCAGCATAACCTGGGTGTTCCAGGCCTCCCATTTAATGGACCCCGATGGCAATAAGTCACTTTTTTGGATTACCCTAGGTAATTTACACATGTTAATATGTATAGTAATTTGTGTAATCGTATTTATGTACCTATACTTGAATAAACTTAATAATGTTTTCCAATTTTGCAAAATATTCTGCATAATGTGGAAATAGGGATTTATTTTTTATTTATTTTACTAGCTTCGCCGTATAGTAGTCGGTAACTATAACCCAAATTTATAATACTGCCTTAAATTATTTGTATATTTCCTAAATTGTTATATAATCATTAAATATGAACGTACCCATCCTGTGGGAAGCAAGCAACCACAAACCAGACTCTCCTGCTTCTGGGTTTATACATCTTATTAATTTGCTGTTTCAATATTTGCTCAGTGCAGGGGTTGGAGGGTGAGGTACTGAATTACAACAACAACAACAACAACAACAATAATAATAATAATAATAATAATAATAATAATAATAATAATAATAATAATAATAATAATAACAATTGTAAAGGACCTGCCTTGGATTGTAAAGGACCTGCCTAGTATGGGCCAACAGGCCTGTTGCAGTGTTCCTCCTTTCTTATTTTCTTATTTATACAACACACGTGTAATTTTACCTTATTAAGAAAGATAAGATTTCGTTCGGATTTTTAACCCCGGAGGGTTAGCCACCCAGGATAACCCAAGAAAGTCAGTGCGTCACCGAGGACTGTCTAACTTATTTCCATTGGGGTCCTTAATCTTGTCCCCCCAGAGCTGTATAGCCCTTGTGGCTTAGCGCTTCTTTTTTGATTATAATAATAATTGTCCCCCCAGGATGCGACCCACACCAGTCGACTAACACCCAGGTACCTATTTGCTGCTAGGTGAACAGGACAACAGGTGTAAGGAAACGTGTCGGAATGTTTCCACCCGCCGGGAATCGAACCCGGGCCCTCCGTGTGTGAAGCGGGAGCTTTAGCCACCAGGCCACGGGGCCACCCTAGTAATGGCCCTCGTATTGTAGTCTTAATGACCCTCGTGTAGTAGATAGTCTTTTTAGTATGATAAGAGGTTACTTAATTATAGAATAAGAAAATATTATAAACTTTATATTATAATAATAAGGTAAAAGGACCCCAATGGAAATAAGTCACTCTGACTTTTTTGGGTTATCCCAGGTTCTCTACACATATGTTGCTATGTATGATAATCTGTGTAACTGTATTTGTGTATACCTGAATAAACTTACTTGCCTAGTTGACATCAACGATATACTACACAAATAACCCGCACATAAAAGAGAGAAACTTACGACTTTGTGAATGTGACTTTGTAGTAAGCTTCTCTTTTATGTGCGGGTTATTTGTGTATCGTTCCAGTCACGGTATTGTGCCTTTTTTTGTTATTTAACGATATACTACTATATAGAAAGCCGCTTGTTACGCAGAAAATTTCAGGAACACAGGGACAGCATCGTGGAGTTCGACCGCGTGGCAGCTGCCAGGTGTGCCACAGGCAGTGTGTACTCAGTTCCTCAAGCTTCAACATCCGTGCACACGAGGGCCTGGGATCTTCAATCAACTTGGCGTCCACCAGGACGCTGACATGTCCCTAGGACAGCTCTCCATCGGGCTGCTAACAGAGTCACTGGCTTCTTGGACCTCTTGGGGAGGGTCGATGGTGCTCGTGCAAGCAGCAGATCCCTGGGCAACTTGCTGCTATTTCCAATGGCTGTCTACCGAGGAGAGACAGGCACCTAGCAACATCTGTTGTTGGGGCAATGGATGAATTCCCTACTATGTTTGTTAACTGCTCATTACTCTGTAATTTGTCTATGATTGTAATCATGTCATAACGTGTTTATCATTCATTACCTTTGAAACTTGTTATGATTTTGACCAGCTCTACCTGGAGCTCATTACCTTTGTAAATTCTCATGATTAATGTATTTATGATTCATTGATTCATTACCTTTGCAATTATTCATGAGTGTGACCAGCTCAACCTGGAGCTCATTACCTTTGTAACTTGGTCATGATTACCTGGAGTTTACCTGGAGAGAGTTTCGGGGGTCAACGCCCCCGCGGCCCGGTCTGTGACCAGGCCTCCTGGTGGATCAGCGCCTGATCAACCAGGCTGTTGCTGCTGGCTGCACGCAAACCAACGTACGAGCCACAGCCCGGCTGATCAGGAACTGACTTTAGGTGCTTGTCCAGTGCCAGCTTGAAGACTGCCAGGGGTCTGTTGGTAATCCCCCTTATGTGTGCTGGGAGGCAGTTGAACAGTCTCGAGCCCCTGACACTTATTGTATGGTCTCTTAACGTGCTAGTGACACCCCTGCTTTTCATTGGGGGGATGGTGCATCGTCTGCCAAGTCTTTTGCTTTCGTAGTGAGTGATTTTCGTGTGCAAGTTCGGTACTAGTCCCTCTAGGATTTTCCAGGTGTATATAATCATGTATCTCTCCCTCCTGCGTTCCAGGGAATACAGGTTTAGAAACCTCAAGCGCTCCCAGTAATTGAGGTGTTTTATCTCCGTTATGCGCGCCGTGAAAGTTCTCTGTACATTTTCTTGGTCGGCAATTTCACCTGCCTTGAAAGGTGCTGTTAGAGTGCAGCAATATTCCAGCCTAGATAGAACAAGTGACCTGAAGAGTGTCATCATGGGCTTGGCCTCCCTAGTTTTGAAGGTTCTCATTATCCATCCTGTCATTTTTCTAGCAGATGCGATTGATACAATGTTATGGTCCTTGAAGGTGAGATCCTCCGACATAATCACTCCCAGGTCTTTGACGTTGGTGTTTCGCTCTATTTTGTGGCCAGAATTTGTTTTGTACTCTGATGAAGATTTAATTTCCTCATGTTTACCATATCTGAGTAATTGAAATTTCTCATCGTTGAACTTCATATTGTTTTCTGCAGCCCACTGAAAGATTTGGTTGATGTCCGCCTGGAGCCTTGCAGTGTCTGCAATGGAAGACACTGTCATGCAGATTCGGGTGTCATCTGCAAAGGAAGACACGGTGCTGTGGCTGACATCCTTGTCTATGTCGGATATGAGGATGAGGAACAAGATGGGAGCTAGTACTGTGCCTTGTGGAACAGAGCTTTTCACAGTAGCTGCCTCGGACTTTACTCTGTTGACGACTACTCTCTGTGTTCTGTTAGTGAGGAAATTATAGATCCATCGACCGACTTTTCCTGTTATTCCTTTAGTCACTGGCTTCTTGGACCTCTTGGGGAGGGTCGATGGTGCTCGTGCAAGCAGCAGATCCCAGGGCAACTTGCTGCTGTTTGCAATGGCTGTCTACCGAGGAGAGACAGGCACCTAGCAACATCTGTTGTTTGGGCATTGGATGAATTCCCTGCTATGTTTGTTTACTGCTCATTACTCTGTAATTTGTCTATGATTGTAATCATGTGATAACGTGTTTATCATTCATTACCTTTGAAACTTGTCATGATTGTGACCAGCTCTACCTGGAGCTCATTACCTTTGTAAATTCTCATGATTAATGTGTTTATGATTCATTACCTTTGCAATTATTCATGAGTGTGACCAGCTCTACCTGGAGCTCATTACCTTTGTAACTTGGTCATGATTATGACCAGATCTAGTTCATTACCTTTGTAACTTGCTCAGCTATCAAAACTTTGGAGTCCAGTCCCTGGACCAATTATGTACCTCTGTAATCTTTTGACTACCGCCCACAGGATGGGTATGGGGTGCATAATAAACAAATTAAACTAAACTTTGTGCGCTATTACGCCATGGTCACACTTGTCGAAGGCTTTTGCAAAGTCTGTATATATTACATCTGCATTCTTTTTGTCTTCTAGTGCATTTAGGACCTTGTCGTAGTGATCCAGTAGTTGAGACAGACAGGAGCGACCTGTTCTAAACCCATGTTGCCCTGGGTTGTGTAACTGATGGGTTTCTAGATGGGTGGTGATCTTGCTTCTTAGGACCCTTTCAAAGATTTTTATGATATGGGATGTTAGTGCTATTGGTCTGTAGTTCTTTGCTGT